TCTACCTTAAAGCTATTCAATTACAGGTGGTTTTATTGCTCAAAAATACCTAGAAAAAGAAGGCATTCTGATTGTTGTCTTTCTCTTCTTTTTCTATTTAAACATTTTCCATACAGTATGTCACTTAATTACCCCTGATTGCTGCTTTGCATTATTTACAATGTAGTAAACAGCTCTGTCACAGAATAAACACAAGGAAATGAGAATCTAGCCCAGACTCTCCTAATGTGGTCCTCCCTGGAGAAAACAGCTTCTTAAGGGACCGTGCTGCTCATGTATGCCCACACAGTCACCTCTCTGTCTGGGAACAAACGCACAGCTGTACACTCCCAACCTCCAGGTCCGCCGCAATCATGCCCCCCACCTCTACTGCCCAAGTCTGGCACCCACGGGTCAACAAAACCAACAAACATGCCAAACATATGTCTGCGTGCTGGATGTGATGTGTCTCCTATGTAATGGAATAGAAATTTGTAATTGAATAAGTGAAAACTAGAGCCTGAATAAGCACAAAATCAAATCTAAACTTGGACTAAATGACCCAAAAATGAACAAAATCTGGACTAAAGCAAGGCTAAAGGGCTAAGCAGAAGTAAACCAGGTCGGTTACTGGGTTATAATGGGTATGCAACAAAATTGTAGCAGATAGTTTGATAAATCTGATATAAATGAGTGGAAAATTAAATGCTTTGTGGGTCTTCGGAATTTATTATTACCATTTATATTTTTTCTCTTTGTTAGTACAATATACTGTGATGTGTGAGCTACTGTGTCCAAGTAATTCCTCTTGTGGATCAATAACGTTTGTCTAAGTTCAAAAGTACTTTATAGATTCAGTGCATTATTATTATTATCTGAATAACCACATTTAATATAATATTTTATTTTCAACAGCATTGCAGTTCCTAGCAATAAGTTGATGTCACTGTGCACCTTTCCAGTAACTTTTTACTCGTAAACAAATTGGCTGCAATGTTGTACATGTGCACTGTTAATAATATTTATACCACCTTCAGAGAGAATCCAATGGGTAATTGCTCTGTGTTAATACTGCAAGTAGTTTAGCAGTAGGTAAATCACATTCTATATCATTGCTCTGTTGACATCACCATATGGCAATGTAAACAAATAATCATAAACATACTGGTCAACTTATGGGTAGAATGTAGGGACTTCATTTAAAAGACATAAATAACTAATATTTGAGACATTTACAGAGAGTGAACAGATTTTTCACGTTCAGAGGCAGGCCCGTCCACAGAAATTTGGGGGCCCAGGGCAGGAAGTCTCACATGGGTCCCCCTGTAATATAAATCAATAGGAAGAGGGTCCCATTCTGGGTTCCTAACACCCTGGCAACAACAGACCCCTTTGTCCTGCCCTTTGTACTGCCCTGTACAGGTGAGGCATTTCAGTTTGTAGCCGTGGTATTAAACAAGTTGGAGCTATGTTTATTAATCATACGATCAGTGTGTATTAAGAATTTAATTTTACTTAAAGGTGCACTATGTAACTTTTTGGTTGGGGGTCCATCACCTGCTTGATTCTATGGATATGTCTTTGCTCTGCCTGGAATGTTCCAAAGTATGACATTAATCAGATCTACCTTCTACATATTGAATGTCATGTGATTTTACTGCTGAAAAATACCTAGAAAAACAAGAATTGTGACTGTGAGCGGTGTTCCCTCTACACAGATCTGATCTGTAACGTGGTCTGGTTTGGTCAAAGAATTAACATCTTCGTGGAGAAAAGCATTTGAAAAAACACAATAACTTTATTTTCACACAGTCAATACTATTTGCCTTTGATATTTGTTTAATTTACAAGTGTTAAAATCAGTGACTGTACATTTTTACAATTTATTTTAGGAAATCTCTGACTTTTCAAACTCTAAGAAAAAAAACAAAAACATAATATAAAACAAATCTATCCATGAGCAGTAACTGAGAGTCTTTTTTATTTTCATGATACTTTGCAGATTCTCACTGAACATATCAGAACTATGAATTAAAACTTTGGAATGCAGTAAGCAAAAGATAAACTCCAGATATCTCCAGACAACTCCTCATTTCAGATTTTAGATTTTTAAAATAGCCACCTTTACAATTTCCACAAGATGAGGCGAGATATGAGACTGGGTCCACGAGCACGAGACAAGACGAGATTTTAGCATAATTCCTAATATATACATTTCACAAATCAATTTCCGATTTTGGCCTCATTATTTTGAATTTCTTTGATTTCATATTTTTGTTTCCATTCTAGTACTTGCTTTGGAACTGTAAAAGATGTAACTCACCAATTTTTAACCCTCCTTTGTCCAGTTCAAATGTAAAAATATGGAAAAAAAAAATCTCACAAGATCACTATGTATATAAAATGAAAGAGGTAAAATAAAGAAAAACGACATTGAATGAGAAGGTGTGTTTAAACTTTTGACTGGCCATACGTAAACCTCACTCTTATAAAACTTTTTACTATGTCACTGTGACCCTGCTTTAAAGATGAATAAACAGCTGTCACTGTATATTAAACCCCTCATTGGAAAAATCCGTAACTAAACAAATTACTGTTTTTTTCCAGATGAGTGAAGCTGGCAGGTCTCACAAACGCTGTATTGACTTTTTTATGTGTCACGGTCCAACATTGCATTTTAATTTGACGTCACTAGAGCCACATGTACTGAATGGGGGACTTGGGGTTTTTCTATAGCTTCTCTATATGGTGCCTTGTGTCCTCTGGCTGTCCCGCTAAAACACAACTGCGTCACTACACATGTTCATATGTTGCCAAAGCAGAGGCAAGCTGCTGTCAAACACTACAGTGAGCTAATCGAGCGTGGATCTCACCTTTATTTATGGACGCACACACACAAAGCTTCTACTGTGCGTGACCTCTCCTCCAGCTAAACTTCCTCCATTGTTTTTTAAAGTAGACTAAGGGAGTGTGACATCATCTATAGGGTTTGGGTCCAGTCAAATGAAGCTCACCGAGGCTTGTGGTCAACGGGGCGAATTTGGAGCCAGTTCCATATTCAGAAAAAAATTATTTACAGACAAAAATAGCTAAATAAAAACACCAGGATCGTGCAGAGCGGGTTAATACTAACATTTAAAACCAAATTGTCAAGCCTAACAGCAGCAGTTACACAGAGAGGAGGAATGTTTTTTCAATACAAAGCAAATTGGAGCTGCTATTGCTTTGCATTGTTACACAAAATAGCACTGACATTATTGTACTTATCGTGCATGTATTCAATTCAGTGTTTTTATTGCTTAAAAATACACTGAAAAACTGACATTCTTTTGTGAACTGGCTTGCCAATGCCTCTCCTTCTGACCTGGCGGCCCTGTCTCCATGGAGATAGATAAGTTTAGTGCCATACTGTGGAACATTCCAGGCAAAGCAATTACATCTCCATGGAGACAAACAAGTGGCAGACCTTCCACAAGAAAATATAGTGCACCTTTAATTTTTAGTCATACTGTTCTCATGTCATATTGTTAATTTCACTGCTTTGTGTTAGTTTCACCTCAAATTGGACATTTAACAAACTACTATCATTTAGACTGGAGTAAACCTTTGTTTGTTTTGGAGTAGAAGACTGATATTTGAAATCAGGTCTGGAAACTCTAATGCACAGGGAGTGTGAAGAGGACCGACTTCATCACAATTGAAAATCTGTCTTGTTCTTCTGGCCTGAATCAGAGCACATTATAAACACACTCAGGAACATTACCATTTTAGAGCAGACTCAAATAGGAACTGCTAAATATGTTTGTAGAAGACTAAACTTCTGGCCTAGTTTGATACATATCAAGACAGATAGTGTGTTGTATTCAGAGGCCATTATTTTTTTTTTAAGTTAGTCAAGGAGAAGTACACAGTAGTGGTCCAAGACATTACTCAACTAAGTGAAGAAGTATTTGGGAAAACTACTACTCAAGTAAGAGTAACTAAGAGTAAATGTCGGGAAGTAATATCTGATTTATAATGTTAACTTAAAGCTTTTGTCACATGTAGACTTATGGTGGGAAGAGTAACCAAAACTTTGACTCAAGTAAGAATAAAAGTATGCTGCTAGAAAAGAACTGTGAAAAGTAATTTTTTTTTAAAAGGTTAAAGGTCCCATATTATGTAAAATTGACTCCTGTGAGGTTTAAACCATGTTAGAATGTTGTTAATTCCTCCAAAACATAACTGGAGTTGGTTTTGTTTCATTCATACATTTGCATAACTCTCTATTATTAGTTTGTCAGTATCTCAAGAGCTCAAAATGCTCTATTCCACTTAGTGATGTCATGAAGCAGTAGTTTTCAAGTTAACGGCAATTTTTTACCTTTAGAGATTGGCAATTCCAGGGCTGAAAATACCCAAATGATTCTAGTGAAGATGTATGGAGTTTAAAAACATAGTGGAGCACTTCCTGTATCACCACATGACTCCAGGCCAGGGTGTTTTCAGTTTGAGAAAAGAACTCTAAATAGCCTAAATATGCAGCTACCTTTTGCCTTTAGTTCACTAGAAAGTGACAGTTTCAGGGCTGAAATGATCCAAATGAATCTAGGGAAGGTGTATGGAGTTCAAAAACATAGTGGAGCACTTTCTGTATTACCACATGACATCACTAGGTAGAAAAGAATGTTTTGTAGCTCAGCCTAAATCTGCATAATACAACTCCGGGTGTGTTTTTAATGAGTGAACAACATTATAACATAGAACACAAAATAGCATAATATGGGCTCTTTAATCAAGTAGATGTAATATTTCCTCTGTAGCGATGGCCTCTGTCTCCTGAAGTGCACCTCTTGTTGTTGTTGTCTGCTTTTAATGACTTGACCCGCTCTGTCAGTTATAATGTGATAAGGGTTTGCGCTGCCGGAGATAATAATGCATGCACTCTTCCTATCTCTATGTGCATTCTCTTATTTATTCATGACTTGCTCTGAGTATTGTGTATCTGTGTGTCTGAGTTTGTGTGTTTTGTGTGTGTTTAGATCCGACGCAGGAGGCCCACCCCCGCCACGCTCTTCAGAGTCGCAGATCAGGCCTCTCCAGACGATGACCCTTCCATGCATCAGGTAAAGGTGAAGTCATAAAGTTTATATTATTTTATTCGTTGTCCGTGTGTTTTAAATTTTTGTGCTTGTAATGTCATGTGTGATTCATTCTGCTTTTTCACATGATAATCTACTTTTAGAAAGTAATATTATATGTCATACACAGTGTTGGGAAGGTTACTTTTAAAATGTATTCCCCTACAGATTACAGATTACATACCCCAGAATTTAGTTTGTAACGTAATCCATGAAGTTACTTAAAGTGAGTAACGTAATCTGAATACTTTGGATTACTTGATATTGTCATGCTTTGATTACGATGCTCTGATTACGTAATCCCGGTACATGTAATCCGTTACTCCCCAACACTGGTCATACATGTTACATTAATTTACATACAGAGACAATGACCCCTCCACACATTAGGTAAAGGTGAAGTCAGAATATTAATATTATTTTATCCATTCATCCATCAATGTGTTCATATGTGTTTTTGTAATGTTATGTGTGATTCATTTAGGTTTCTTCATATGATAATCTAACTGTAGAAAGTCGTATTTGCATAGCTACGTTCATGGGCGATAAACTAAAATGAATTTGTTTTTCTATTAGCTATATAACTGACATTCATTTATATACAAAGAAATGTAAGTGTATGTATATAAATATATAATGCAGAGAGAGAGTTGCGCTATTTTTTAATCTGTGTTATGTTCTTTCCTCACCACAAACATAAATGGAGTTGTGTTTGGTTTCAATCACACATTTAACACACAAATCCCCCATATTTTGGCTGTGTTTTCCACTCAAACAGAAAACACTTTGTTCCACTTTGTGATGATATGTGGTAATACAGGAAGTTCTTAGATGTGTTTTTGAATTCCATGCACCTTCACTAGAATCATTTGGATGATTTCACACCTGGGGTTGCCAACCTCTACTAAACAAAGGGTGAAAAGTAGCTGTTAACTTGAAAAATACTGCTTCGTGACATCACAGGGTGGAACAGAGCATTTTAACTTTGGAGATGTAGACAGACTAATAATAAAGGATTACTCAAATATGTGTGAATGAAACAAAACATATTTCCAGGTATGTTTTTGATGAGGTGACAACATTATAACATGACTTAAACTTCACAAGAGTCAAATTTTCGTAACAGACTCGTTAACGGTGCATACTGTCCCTGGCACATAGCTGTTATTGTTTCAACTTAAAATATACAAAGTACACAAAATACTTTTACCGAGAACAGCTGATACAGACATGATTTACTCCCTCTGATATCAGACTGTGATGTATTGTTCTTACTGGCACAACGTTTTGTTTTTATAAACATTCCTGAAACATTCTGCACCAATGGAGATCCCCCGCAGATAAAAAAACTGTCTCTAGGAACTGGCTTGTGGCTAAAAGCAAAGCTCAGTATTTGCCCTTTTATTGCTAACACATACTTTAAATGTTTATCGTTTGGCAAGATGTAGCTTATTTAAGGCATGTAATCTTTTATTGGGGCCATAACACTGCGGAAATGACTTGACCTCAACAAATTGGATCATACAAAACTGAATTTTCCTACAATTTATTACATTTCTAGGTTATGGGCCAGGCTTTATTTTGTAATGAACATATAAATATGGATCTTGGAGGGGTATAACAGTTATTTTCAACTATTACTTTATCAGTGCTTGTCTCCATCAAGATGCACCATTTCTGCCTGAAATATTCCACAGAATGACATTAAACTTACCTATCTTGCATATGTTTTTGTTGCTAAAAATACCTTAATACATATATTTTATCTTTTCTACTCAGAGACACATTGCCTGGCAAATCCATAATGATATCCCTTTGTATTACAGATCAATATCAGTCTCTCTGTTACATCTTAAGCCTGGCCAAGATAATCGTCCAGACAGATTATCTTTTTTTTCTGTGACACATGTGAAACAAAGGACCTCATTGGTCGCCATCATTTACATGTAAAATCTGATTTATCTCACCTCGGATTAACAAAGTTTAAAGCTTCACTCATTCATTCTACAGAAATCAGCAAAGTTTTTCTGTTTCCTGTGATATAGGCTCTATTCACACTTCTTTCCAAACGTCTTTCTGGTTTGTGATGCCAAATAAATAGAGCCTATCGCTTCCAATACAGATGGAAGATGCATGTCCCTGATTGTCAATCACAGCTATGTGAAAACGGGGAGATTCACCTGTGACCAGACCAGTTATATAGTGTACCATTAAATATGATCAGATATAGACAGTATTGCACATCTGCAGTGGCAGTTTAACCAAATGACCAACAAGGTCCCTGGTAGTTATAACTTAATTTTTTTATATTAGTACTTTATTTTTTATGATACCTTTCCTGTATGTGCTACATCTTTTATCGTCATAATGGAGTGCGTAGTTTCACTTTTTCACTTGGCATTTACTCACTTGTGTTATTTCTGTGTCTTTATTTTTGCAGTGGGTGGTGGGAGAAAACGGCATCCTCAAACCTAAACGCATTAATCAGAACGTGTACCAGCCTCCGTCACTCAAAGGTCAGTGTTTTAAATGTTCTGACGGGGCTCTGGGGAGGAGGCTGCTCGCTGGGGTATCTGCTCTACTTTGCTTTGCTGCTACTTTCTCTTCATGCTCTCTGCAAAAATAGCACATCTCGAATTTGGGGAGTCACAATGTACCTCACAATTTGATAAAACATGATGCGCATATGCAAATACAACCAAAACAGTGTTAAGTCTGAAAACTGCACTATATCATTTTTCTGGTTGTCTCCATAGAGATATCATTGCATGTCTTAGAATGTTCCACTGTTTGGCATTACAGTTGTCATCTCCGTGAACTCCATGAAGAAAAGTAGGTGACCAAGTTACATATCAGATCCGCGGAGAGGTGTCCCTGTTCATTTGTAAGGTATTTCGTAGCAGGCAAAAATAAAATAATGCAAGATACATAAATATAATAATAATGCAGATACATAAATATATTGCCAACTGTGAAACATTTAGCCACAGCATAATCACCATGGAGACAAGCATGTCCCACCAGAAAAGTTACATAGTACACCTTTAACATACCTATCTCAGTGTCAGTATTTTATCACAGCGATTTGCACAGATTTTTGCGTATTTTTTGGCCTTTTTAAACAGAAGAGCCTATTTTAAGTGATGTAGAAAGTCAGAGAGATTAGACCGTACAACAGATGTGAGACAGTGAGTCTATGGAGCACGGGATGATCCTGGATTACAGCGAGAAGCAAAGGCACACACAATAGAAACACATGACAGAGACCAATGCCCCTGCCGGTACATGCGGTCATTAGGTGGACAGCAGTTCCCCACAGAGCTTATTTTAAAGATGATTTTTTTTGGATTTTATAGAATGATATAATGCTAAAATTTATATCCCCTTTGAAAAAAAACTCTACTTCAGACATGAGTCAACCCAACAGGCGCCATTTGTAATTGTGCGACTAACAAATGGATCATGGGGCAGGGAGATGTGTGGAGTGTCAAAGTGACCCAGAAGTGCAGCTAGTATTGTATAAGGAATAAGAGGAGAGAGAGGAGGAACTGAAACTAGTGCAGACGCAAACTGTGAGGTAACCCGTGGGGACGTATAGAACCACAAATCAAGCTGATTGTTGCTGAAAAACCTGCTGACTTTAAAATGCATTGTAGTGACAAAAGTTGCAAGATTGTAAATGGAGTTTGTATGTTTCAGTTTTCTGTCATGGACGCCATTTTGACAATTCATTTTTTGGTTTTAGTTGTTAGTTGCTATGGTAGTGATCCCATTACTTGTACAGTAGATGTCTATTTAGTAGGCCTCTGTAGAAATCAGGATTGTGTAGTTCGTCATAGTTACTCTAAAGTTAGACTGGGGATTTTCCTAGTGTGATAAATGTATTGATAATTTGCATTGACATTATGCTGGGGGTGAACTACATGTATCTCTGTTGGCAGAATGGTGACACTATGCACACATTAACAAGCCCAGACAAAAAGTTCTCAAAAGAAAAAAAAAAGGATCTAAACAACTATTTGATTGTTGACTTGAAAACCACCGCTTCATGACATCACAAGGTGGAACAGAGCATTTTGAGCTAAACGGAAAGTTACTCAGACATGTGTGAATGAAACAAAACACAATTCCAGGTATGTTTTTGGTGAGGTAATAATATCCTAACATTTTTGCGTAGCTCCGAAATTATAATTTTTTTTGATACTTACTGCATTCACTACACTCATTAGTACTATATTTAGACACGTACAGTAGGTGACTATGTGTCCTTAAAATGTCCCATGGAGTCCAGTGAGAGTGTGAGAAAGGTCATACTTTGTTCTCCGCTCCACATCTGGGACTCAGCAGCGTCATCTAAACTAATGATAAAACAAGAATAAAAAGACCAGTGTTAAAGCTGCATCATGGGACTTTTCTGGTGTCATTACACAGCATTTTTACTAAACATATTCAGTATAAGTAGTTGTTCAAATGAGCATCTAGTTTCTTTGCCAGTTTCAGTATAGTTAGAAATATCTGAGTATCTTAAAATGTTTTTGGCTCTGTTTGCAAATGTGTGCATTGTGTCATCATGGAAACTGCCAAAGACATACATGTAGAACACACTGAACATGAAAAAACTGCAAAGTATCAATACAGGAGAGTAAAAATAATTTGTGCCTTCAATTCAATTCACTCTTTATTAAGAACATGTAATATCTGGTTCATAGTATTAAAAAGAAAATAGTAAGAATAAAAAAAGTTAAATACAGTGCATGTTATAATGTATACAGACAAGACTGCCAGTGTCTCCACAACTCAGAGGTGAATCTGACAGAGCTCCTCACAGGACACACTAGAGCTTCAATGATTCGATTGCTCAGATTCATGGCTCTAACCATGAATGAATAAATACAACATCTGATCGTGACAACACAAGGTCTCACACCACAATTTACAAACATTTCAGTGGCTCTACAGAACCTCTGCACTTTCAGTAATATTCTCAAAGAGTCGTTATAGGCCACTGTCAGACTCTGCAAACTCTTTTTCTTGTAGTCATAATCATAATCAGAACCAAAGTCTATAGGACACACAGCTCTTGCGCTAAAAAATAACATTAAATTAGGTACTAAAAAGCTACAAGTCTACAACAACAAGAAGACCCTACAGTGCCATACTCCCTTATGAGTCATGGGCATAGGTGAGTAAAAGGAAGGGGGGCGGAGGGGTAGTTCAGGTCACTACCCCCTAACTGCATGATAATGAGATGAGAGAATAGGCTGAGTGAATCAAACAAAAGTGGTCTACTATTACAAATCTGGTACCCAGAATTCTGCTGCTTGCTTATCTGTATTTGTCTGTCTGTTGCATGTGATGTATTGGCCTCTGCCTTGTTTCGATGGTTAAATGTTGTCCATAATGTCTGTTGTTATATTATACAGGTTGTTTTCACATTTTACAGGCACATAACTGACACTATCCATGGGTTATTCAATGTATGGTCAGGACTTCATCTCAATTCAAAAGATATAATATTTTGTTTTATATTGTTATTTTTTCTTAATTCTGAAACCCATGTATAGCAGGGATCCAAGAAGGGGGGAGCAAATCCGCGTTAAAACAACAAACCAAGCAGAAAGCAAATACTAAAGTTATAATCTAAAATATACTTACTATGCAATCTGCAGGAAAGAACAAACAGTGACATCTCTGTGGATAAATTTAGTCTGTTGTTCATTTTGAAACCAACAATCATAGACACGTTTAAGCTCATTTCTTGTGGATTTTTGATTATCTTAAACAACACAGGAGAACATTTTAATTAATCTAAGACTCCAGTACCCTGAGGACTCTTATATTGTAGCTGTGAAGACCTTGTTTAAATTGGCTCTTTTTACACCTATCTTATTCTCACACTGTTCATCATCCTGTGAAAACAGCCTGTATACATACTACACAAAGAGATGCACTGATCCAGCCTTTCGATACTATGGCTTTAAAGAATCTGATATCCGATGTAAGAAGGCAGATAATCAGTACCAGTATCAGTATCGGTGCATCCCTAACTACACAGTAAACCCAATGGTCCTCTCCTCACCTCCCTGTGTTGTGTGTGTTTTTGTTTGTGTGTCTCTCTCCTGTTGTGTGTCCCTGTAGCCGTGCAGAAGATGGCAGAGGCCCACATGCAGCACCTTGGGGTGTACACGGCTCTAGAGGAACCGTGTGAGGGAGATGAAGACGAGCAAGACTGGCAGGAAGAAGATGGTGAGATACTGCTGTCCCAAGGAACTAACGGGATCAGCAGCATGACCAGAAATGCATTTTACTTCATTATATTTTACCTAATTCTGGATTTATATGTGTAGCAGTCTGAATTGAGTTTCACAGCAGTCTGGAGTGGCTCTCATCGAAAGCAGTCAGAATGTCCCTGACAATAATTTGATTCTAATTGGACGAAGCTGCGAAAATCAGAGTTTAGTTAAATTCACTTGAGACAAAAGCAGATTTTTTCCATTCACAAATGACTTCCTTCTGCACTTTCTCCATAGTCCGTATTTCTAAAACAGGCTGAAGTTCATTCATGATTGTTGCCATGTTTGGTTTGGTTTGTTTATTCTGGTTTGTTTGGGCAAACCACAATGCAGCTCTGTGATAGGTCCATTCGTCGAACCACTGGTGGTCAGGTCCAGTTGCAACAGTGATTATTGTGCAAGGTTACATCATGGATCTATAATAAGAACTGGATAAGACACGCCCCCTCTGTCTATGACCGAGATTGATTATTGGCTGTTCCATAGGTACTGCAGGTCAGACAATTCTCCCACAGAGCACAAAGTGAAATCAAACTGCCCATGTTCATCTGACCGGCATTGACAGCTTTCATAAAGGGCAGATTTTTTAGGGATTCTTTTGTATTTTTACAATATGAGCTTCATTTTTTTTAACTGTTAAAGTGCCTAAAAGTTAGCTTTGTAAGACTTAGCCTAGCCCTGCTCTGAGTACGGGTTAGCTCCGCTCTAGCAGCTAACCCTCTGATTGATCAGAACTGCACATTTCTGCTGTCACACATTTTGCAGTTTGAGGCCAGTATTCAAGAAGTAATACGGAAGTAAAAATCTTTTTGGCACAGTGCGCCAATGAGCACAGGCCATTAAAAACAATATGATGCCATCTTGGGTTCACTTTCCAGATTTCATTCTAGTTCTGTGGGTTATATTTTACCGCTATGATCATATTATATCTGTTATCTATTAACATCCAATTGCCATAGTTTGCAGTGACACTACACTGGGGGTGTATTTTTATGTATTTCTATGGCAGTTTATACAGTATTTACAATGGTAACACGGTGCATATTTGGAATAACTACCCCAAAAAATTTTTAGAATCTAGTTTTTAGAATTTTATGTGTGATAAACTTGTTTAAGAGCACAAATCATTTCACCTGTTGTAGTTACATTTAAGCTCTTTCTGGTCAGACTGTGTTAAAATCAAGCCCAGATTAAAGTCTAACTTGAGTAACAGAGCTTCTAACAGTGTAGTGCTTCCAGTTAGCATCACACCCTCAGGGATTTTACGCAGGTTTACACAGTAGCTGTATGTTGTTTTGATTGATTATCCTATACAGACATAACTGCCCTCAAGTCTTTTACATCAATCATGGGCAAATGAACAGAAGATATGCATAATTAAGTCAGAATATAATGTAAGAAACCATTTAAAGTATCTTATTTTGATTGTCTTTTCATTGTTATTTTCACCAGAATCAGCTGTAATCAGCATAAAGTTGTAAATTGCAATGTAGTATAATATGGCAAAAATGTCACATTTTAGAAAGAAAAATGCAGTCTCATATGAACGAAAACCAAACAGATGGTTCTTGCCTTGAGTTATCTAATCCTTTAGTTCTTTGTTCTTTATCTTTGCACAATACTGACAGGAAATAAACAGCTCCCAGTTATAATATACACATTACACACAGTTGACTAGTGCTGTGTATGTGTTTTAAAGGTCCTATATTACACAGAATGGACTCTTGTGAGCTTTAAGCCATGGTAGAATGTTGTTACCTCATCAAAAACATATCTGGAGTTGAGCTGTTTTATTCACACATGTTTAGTAACTCTTTATTATTAATCTGTCTACATCTCCAAAGCTCAAAATGCTCTGTTCCACATTGTGATGTCATTAACAGTTCCTATTACCTTTTGTTCAATAGATTCTAGAGCTGAAATGATCCAAATGATTCCTAGTGAAGGTGCATGGTGTATGGAAACATAGTGGAGCACTTCCTGTGTTACCACATGACATCACAAGGTGGAAGAGAGTGTTTTCCTTTTGAGAGAAGAACTATATTGCTATATTGGCTTTAATAGCTAATCACTTGGCAGATATATTCGCTGTAATCTATTGCATAACATTGCATAATCATAATAATATATTCAGATTAATTCATGTCTTTGCCATCTACATTATGCGACGATGATGGAAATTACAGATGCTAATTGGTCTAGTCCTGTGCGACAAAACAACAGATTAATAAATAAGCACTTACGGTAGCCCACTGTGGACATTTTGTTTTTAAAGTAAAAACCAACAGAAAAATTAATGTGAAGAATGGAAATACGACTAAAAATGACCTAATTCTTGGTATTGTTAATTAAGAACTTAGAACAACAGCTATAAAGATTTGTGTAGAGAATTGTTTGGATTTTAAGTGTCTTAAAAATGTGAAAAACAAAACTAGCTCATTTTTAACAGTTTGCAGTTTTCCAAAGTTATTCCTCACTTACCTTATGCATTCAAAGCATCACAATTATTCACCACGATGAGTTTCATAAGCGCTTTTTACTCTCAATGACAAGAACAGTTTTATTACCATGGCATTTTGAGCTTTGGCGATGTAGACAGATTTATAATAAATGGTTACTCAAATATGTAAATTAAACAAAACACAACTCCAGGTATGTTTTGGAGAAAGTAACAATATTATAACATGGATCACAAGAGTCAGTTTTGAGTAATATAGGACCTTTAAACATTTTATCAGTTAGCTTCTCTGATATTATCAATACCATCTGATAAGTTTTTGGTACAAGCTTTCCAAGTATGTTTTATGGCTCTGATATCACGTTTATTTTGTTGGTTGATAATATAAACTGTACTTATTATCTAATCAGCTTACCTCAAAATGACATTAACTTAACATGACTATTCACAAAGCCCCTGATAATTCTCTTATTAAATCAGTAGCACAAAAATATTAGCACTGTCAGCCTGTATCCATTTATTTTGGTTATATCAGGCGCTACAAATCAGAAACACATGTCTTCCCAAATAAAGTAATTGAGATAGACAAGCCGGAAATTCAGCAGAAAGCATGGATTTGTTCAGCGTGCCATTTTAGTGAAGGGTTTAAGGCTCAAGTTTCCTCTCTGGACTGTTGCATTTTAGAAAACAGTGTTGAGTAGTAGAAAAGGTTACATTTTACACCATAACATATTTACAGTTTTCATTGTTTCAAGGCAAGGCAATAGTCACTGTTTCCATAGACTCCATCTGTTAAACTTCAGATTAAAGGTTCACTATGTCACTAGTGCACAGCCCGCAGAAGACTTACGGATTCAAAGTGCAGCCAGCTATAACTTCCGAAGTTGTCGCTGGCTGCACTTTCCTGTGATGTCATGTGACCCGTGATGTCATGTGACTCGTGATGTCATGTGACGCGTGGTGTCCATGATTCCAAAAGTTGTTTGTATTTAAAGTATATCTCTAATTTTACCCGATTTTGCCCCAACAACATGAAACTTGGCACTGCACTCACCTGTATCATTAGGATGACGCCCTCTAATTTTGAGATCAGTCGGATGAGTGGTTTGAGAGTTATGCATGGAACGACAAACAAACAAACAGGAGGAGACACAGACAGATGTTTCTTGCATTAATAGACAGATTTTCCTGGGAAGGGATAACACCTACTTGTCACCATGGAGATGTTATTGCTGTGCATGTAATGTTTCACAGTATGACATTATTCAATATGGGCCTAAGTTTTTCAAGACTTTTTGAGCAGTGAAAACACTTGTAATTGAATTAGGGATGCACTGATCCAGCTTTTTCAGTTCCGATAAAGATTCCAAGACTATGGCTTAGCATTTGCCAATACCAGATATCAGCCAATATCAGAGCAAGAGACTGAAAACAGCATATATTTCTTTTTAACTAAAACAAATTAAGACAAAACTGATCCAAATGTGTTATGTAGCTGTTATTTACTTCTCAAGTAACAAAAGAACAACTTGAATATGACTAGTAAATAGTCAAGTTACATCAATTTTATGTCCAAGCAGGATAATGGCAGAACCAGTATCTGACCTGTACATCCCTAAATGAATGAATGCTTATGAATGAATGAATGAATGCATACAAGAGAAATATATTAATGCTATACTGCAGAACATTCCAATCAAAGCAATAACATCTCCATGGAGACCAGCAGGTGGCGAAAAAACAGAAAAGTTATACAGTCCCCCTTTAACATGTATTAGGTATTTTCTCTACAAATAAAGCTACAGTGTGATCAGATTTCTAATACTTCTGTAACTGATAGAGGTATTCAGGTTTGTACTTTTAATCCTAATCACCAACTGCCTGGACTTGGGTCTGATCGCTTTTGATTTAAAGATGTACTGCGTAACTTTTCTTGAAGAGCATAGGCCACATGCTGATCTCCACATAGATTTACTTAACTGTTCAGCCTGGAATGTTTCACAGTAAGGCTTTAAACTGAACAATAAAATCACCTCTAAGAAAACAAAGGCTGGATAGACTTTTAATGCCATACTGGGAAGCCTACTGAGCAAAGCAATAACATCTCAACATCACAAAGTTACACAATGCATCTTTAATTTCGCCATTTGCCATTTCGCCACCAAAGATGCAACTATAAAAAAAAATAAGTCTGGCAATCTTACAACACAACTGTGATTGCTAGTGCACTTTGAGCTCAGTTGCACCACGTACTGAGACAGGCCCTATGTGATAATATCCAGTTATAGATTGAATCTGCTATATTTTTGTGATTATGAAATGAAATGTGGACCAAATCATAGTTATATTTGACTGAAATTTTCATCTTGCCCCATCTGAACATCTGTGCGATTTTGACACCACATTCACAGCATATCATTATCTTTAGTTTCAAGCAGACAGTTATGGCTTGTTTCGTCTCCTTTATGTCACAGAAAAGGCGATGTTTCACGATGAATTACTGCTGAGACGGGAGGATGACAGGCACATGGCATAAATCGTTTGTTTGATTCATCTAAAAGACTAAATGTTATAAAGCACAGCGCGTCAAAACCTCCAGTCTGGCCCCTTTGACAGAGTTCATTCAGAGGTTGTTTGGGGGTTGCATTAAATCAAATACTGGCCTCAAAAAATATATGGGTAAGATGAAACTAACGAGACTCATCCATCATCTTTTTATGGACTTATTTTGTTTGTTTTGAGTACCTCTTTATTATTATTAGTCTGTCTACATCTCCAAAGCTCAAAATGCTCTGTTCCACCTTGTGATGTCATGCAGTGGTAGTCTTCAGGTTAGCAGTGACCTTTTACTTTACTGCTAGTTCAGCTCTAAATGATGTAGGTGAAGGTGTGTGGAGCCTAAATACTCAGGGTTTGTTTGTTAAACATGTGAATGAAACAAACACAGCTCTAGGTTTGTTTGTGATGAGGAAACAACATTATACATAGATCAGAAAATAGTGTAATATGGGCCCTTTAATGGTCATTCTATTCACACTCTGGTCATTTTAATGCTCAAATTGCCATCCTAATATCTTGATAAATCCATGTATCATTCGTTCAAAAATAAAACTAAAAATAAGAAAACGAAAAAACAACAATTTTCTTCACAATTTGTCTCCAAAATAAAAAAAAACAAAACAAAACAAAACAAAAAAAACAGATAACGATTTGTTTTTTCAGTTTTCTATTTTGTGTTTAAATGAATAATGGAAAAAAACGATAACGGCTGTTTTTGTGTCTTAAACTGCGACGCTGGACTTTTGTACCACATACGGACTAAACAGGACTAAACCAGGACTACTACAGGTCTAAAACAGCTCTAAACCAGGTCTAAACCGGTCTCAGTCCTGGTCTGGTCCCAGTCTCAGGCCTGGTTTCAGTCCCGGTCTGGTCATGGCCTCTGTCCTAAACCAGGACTAAACCAGAACTGTACCAAGACTAAACCAGGACTGAACCAGGAGTGTTGGGACGGGCCCGAAGGTGCCTCCACGTAGCCTGTCGGGTGATAAGGAAACCGGGGCCAGACCCCATGGACCAGACTGAGACTGTGACCGGGACTGAGACTGGTTTAGACCTGGTTTAGTCCTGGTTTAGACCTGGTTTAGACCTGTTTTAGTCCTGTTTTAGTTTTGTTTTAGTCCTGGTTCAGTCCGGCATCGTTTAAGTCATGAAAACAGGAACCGTTCACTTAAACACAAAATCGAAAACTGAAAAAACAAATTGTTATTGTTTTTTTTGTTTTTTGTTTTTTTTTTTCATTTTGGATTTGGACACAAATAATGAAGAAAATTGTTGTTCTTTTGTTTTCTTATTTTTAGTTTTATTTTGAAAAACTAATGACCAAATGATACACAGATTTTGCTATACCAACTAGCAGCAGTTAATTCTCAGGTAGATTCTCTGCAGATTTCCAGACCATGAGGCGTCTGCACAAACTTTACCCTCTATATCTCTTTTTAATTGAATATTGTGGATAACAACAAACTGCACCATAACGCCAAAGCAAGTTCCTAGTTTGCGCATTCTGTTTGCTGACAATGGCCATAAAACTTAATCTGATTGTACTGAAACTTGCACTAAGAACATTGTTATTGCCTTTCCAGGAATGTTCCACAGTATGACATTCAACATATATACCCTCTGTCAGTATTATGCAAGCAAAAGGAACCAAAGGATTACACTGGATTAGATACTGTTTGGTTTTCATTCATTGAAGCTGCTTTTTTCTTTCTAAAATGTGACATCTTTTCCACATTATATATGCAATTTATAAATTTACATCACATTTACAGCTGGTTCTGGTGAAAATTAACAATGAAAAGACAGTCAAAATAAGATACTTAAATGCCTTCTTACATTATATTGTGACTTATGAACATATGTGCAAAAGAAGAAAGAGATCCGCTCTGCAGTTCCTCGAAGCTCCCAAATTTTTTATTTCAATGACACCATCAAAAATTTTGTCTCAGTTTTTATGTGTGTGTATGTGTGTATGTGTGTGTGTGTGTGTGTGTGTGTGTCTGTGGTTGTGCATGTCTCTGTCTACCAGTATTATGAACATCTGCCCATGAATGATGCAAAAGACTAAAGGCAAAATCATTATGGTTGTACTGGATAATCAATCAAAACATCATTTTTATTTTATTGATTTTATTTATCTGTTGTCCCAAGGCAGGTGACACAGAAAACAGTCACAAAATACAAAAGCTGTTACAAAGAGACACAGAACAGTTAAAGGCCAGACTAAAACTGTTCACAGACCTGGTTTTCCTCTATCCACATTTTAAGGTGCAGTTTGAAAGTGCACAGAGATGGACTTTCTCTTATGTTCCAATAATGACTGACAGCACAGTCTAACCCTCGAGCTGTGGCCCTGATGCCCTCCCACTCACAATCTTCGGTTTTATAAAGTCTTTCAGTGGAGGAGTGAGTCCGTGCAAAACTAACAAGAGAATAAAATGTTCAAAACTGAGTAAACTATAATTATCCAAAACAATCCAGTGTGAAAATAAGTATGTTTTTGTCCAAGGTTTTTATTGCCTTTTTATAAACAGATTCTATACATTTGTCTGTGAAATACATCAAAAAGAAATACAGCAAAATACTTAGATTTATTGATCCACAAAGGAAATTATTTTGACACAGTAGTTCACACATCACAATATAATATAATAACAATGACCAAAAATATAAATGGTAAATAATAAGTTCAAAATAAGTATGACAAATGATATCATTCTATACAAATTGTCTAGTGGGCGCGATTGCACCCATTTGTGCATTTTTTTATATGAATCTGTTCAGGGTCATGGTGTGCACCCACAATTAAAATTTGAGTGAAATCAGCCAAAGTTTGTGCGATTTGGAGATTTTATCATTAGAATAACATGGAGAGTTTATGTCATCACTATAGTGACGCCATCTGAGGTGGCTCGGGCACTCAAGTGCCTCCCTCAGGAGGTGTTCCAGGCATGCCTGGAACATGCTGGAGGGACTATGACTCTCGGCTGGCCTGGGAACGCCTTGGGGTTCCCCCGGAGGAGCTGGAGGAAGTGTCTGGGGTGAAGGAAGTCTGGGAGTCCCTGCTTAGACTGCTGCCCCCGCTACCTGGCCCTGGATAAGTGGAAGAAAATCGATAGATGGATGGATGGATATAGTGACGCCTTAAAAAATATGACATGATTGTCATTAACTTTTTGGATCTGAATGCCAAAACTGAATTTTGTGCAAAATTTCAAAAACTTTTGAAAAATCTTTTTTTTTTTTTCCCGTATTAAATTTAGTTTCAATTTGTGAGGGCACTAATGCGCCAAATTAATTAATTTATTTTTTTCACTTTAACTAGCTTTAGGGCAGGGAATTTAAGAAGTGATTCGAATTTCACTGAAACCGGAATTCATTTGTGCAAATGAGAGCAATTTGTAAAAATTCAAAAATTCTGAAATTCTATGCATTTTTTGGCACTTCACTTCTCAGAATGTGTGAAAAATTTAGATAACTTTTAATGTCCCACCCCTTGAGATAATGTGTACCATATTTGAGTCTGTTTGGGTAAACACCCTTGGAGTAGTATGAAGTTTTTAAAAAAAAAAGCTGACTCATGCTTTGCAAATTTAATCCAATATTGCTGCCCCTGGTGGAGCGCACAGCGTTAGTGTAATAATATTTTTTACTTGTCTTGTCATGATCTGCTTCTGTGCCAAATTTCATGATTCTACGCAAAACATAAACATTTTTTGGCCTTGTTCCCACCCTAATGCTTTTTTGTGTATTCGGAGGCACTGACGTGCCATTGTATTTATTTTTGGAAAATGGAAATAGGCAAAAGTTAGAGAAGGGTGAGTTTTAAGAACTGGCAAATTCTCATGACTTCTCACCATTGTTTACTGGGTGAAAAATGAGTGTGTTGATTAGGGAAACAAAATATATATAAGAAAGAAAGAAAATAATATTCTGATACAAGAACAATGTTCCGCTTTTTTTTTTAGCTAACAAACTATACATTTTTGGAAAGTTCTGGTGTATTCCTACGTCATGGCGGGGGTCCTAGTCAATACGGGCACATCACTACTAGTACCATTACTTTGCTATACTAATAGGCTCTTCACCAGCTTCTGACACTTTAGCCTAATAATTGAATTCATAGCAAAAGAAAATTGTATAGGTTTGAGTATTGTACCAGCAGCAAGTGACTAGGAGGTGATGCAGTACTCTGTATGTGAAAGTTCCTATAAGGCAATCCTACTCTCCACAGATCTTGGTCTTTTGCTGGCTCTTGTGCCTTTTCTTGTAGATACATGTCTTTAATGTCATACTGTCATTCGAAACAATTCAATCTTAATGGTAACAACATACACTATATAAAGAAGTGGACTAATGGAGTGTGACATCACCTACAGTGTTCAGCTCCAGACAAATGAAGGTCAAATGAAGCTTACTAACGCTAGCTGTTAAAGGGTTGAGTTCCATATTAGGGATAGGAATTAGTTTACGGACAAAATAGCTAAATAAAAAAACAAGGATCATGTAGAGCGGGTTAATACGAACATTTTAACACCAAAATGAGTAGATAGAGCCGGAAGCACGCTCATGCTCACTTCCTAATTTTTTATTTATATATAGTCTACAGTATATAGGCAACAAGTAGTGACTTTTTGTTTTGTTCTCGCATCTGTCTTTCCTTGACACTATATATATCTCCACAGATCACCAAGACACAACGGCCCCAGAGCAGCCAGACCGACCCAGCCCCAAACAAATACAAGCTGCGACAGATGAAGACGAGGATGAGGAAGAAGAGAAAGGCATTTCCAAAAACAACATGAAGGGAACCACAGAGGAGCACAGCAGGAGCTCTGACTGAACCCAGACTACCACAACAGGATATGGGGGGGCTGAAATGGTTAAAGGTGCATTGTGTAACTTTTTTGGTGGAGCGTTCGTCAAATGCTTTTCTCTGTAGAGATGTTATTGCTTTGTCTGGAATGTTCCACAGTATGGTATTAAACCTTTCTGTCTTCATCCATATCAAACCAGGTCAAGTTATAGGTCAGATCTGTGGCGAGCTTCACAGTCAGAATGCCTTTTTTGTTTTTTGTTTGTTTTTTTTTAGGTCTTTTTGAGTTATAAATCCACCTGTAATAGAGTTAACATAAGGTAAAGCTGTTTAATGTCATACTGTGAAACATTCTAGGCAACGCAATGACATATCCATAGAAACAAGCAAGTAACAGACCCCTAACCTAAATGTTACACAGTGCACCTTTAAAACAAACTAAGGAATTTGTCTGAATAACTGAGCGTAACAGAAGTAGTAATATGGGTGAAAGTGAACAGGCAATGTCACCTCTACTTAGGTCAAGAAAGACAAGTATAGGTTTTGATGAGGACGTGAGGAGTGACGCACTGACAGGGCGGACTGTTTTCCTTGTTTTTAGTCTAAACTACAGGCCTCAAGGTCAAGCCCCAAGATAATATTACTGGACACATGCTTATTCAGAATTTGCAGATTACTCATTCAAATTCTTAGATAAAAAGTCAATTCTGTGTAAGTCTTGATAAAGTTACACTGAAAACCATATCTGTTAACTTTAATTTTGCTTTGGATAGTTTTGATACTTGGATTCACGTGTCTGCACTGACATCTTGTGGCCATAATTTGGAATTACAAGTCATATGAAGTCAAAGTGGTTCTGAGTATTGACACTAATAGCTATTTTAAGCCCCAAATGTACAGTTATACCTCTAAGAAAATTAGTTATTACAAAATTACTATCTAAATTAAAACCTGTGAAGGGTCCACCACCTGCTTTTCTCCATGGGAATTATTTTGCTTTGCCTGCAATGTTCAACAGTGTGGCATTAAACTCATCTCCATGGATATAAGCATTCGACTCCATCAGGCAAAGTTTCAGGCTAAATCTGTGCAGAGGTTACTGTGTTCACAAGGTATTTTTTGAACATTAAACAATACTGCATATTAGATTAGTTTAACACAATAATACTATGGGACATTCCAGGCAAAGCAATAACATCTCCATAGGGACGGAATTTCCACTGGTAAATATTTACGTTTTGCATATTATGAATGCTGTATTTTCTATCATTTGAATAAAGAGCCAAAACAAATTCAAAGCAGTGGATATCGTAGAAGAATTTCAGGATGTGTCAGTAATGTCATAAAGGTAATATTGGCCCTTGTAAATTCACAGTTATAATGAAGTCTAAATAAACTTATAAACTCTAATCAAACAAACCAGATCTGTTTTATACAACCAAAGGTCAAAGTCTTTCATTACGTTGGCGTATCAGGACACAACAGTAACTGCCTGTTTGTATAATTACACGCCAAAACCACTTTTCATTATGGGACCAAATTAAAAGCCACTCAGGTTTGAAAATAACTTTTAAAAAAACTACTATTATGACCTATATTTAAATGATTTTGATTTCCATGTTCTAGTTTTATATATGAATGAAAAAATGGGCTTGCTATATGACTGACTCAAGAAAACTGACCCAAAAAATTTAAATTAAAGTAACACTACCTCTTCTCTTTATACTCCAAAATACTATTTGTGCTAAGCTCTCAAATCTCATCAAATGAATACATACACCCTTTATAATCTATATCTCATAAACTGAATATACAAAATAACTGACATTTCCCTTTTGTAAACTATTTTCTATGGCTCTATAGTGGTATAATGGAGACGTGTCATGAATTTGTCATGTAAGAAGTATTTTTCTATCTTGAAGGGTTGCCGTACGAGTTAGTCTGCTCTATCCTGTTTCTACTGTAGTTTGTGTGCATTAACTGGGAACTGAATTTCTGAACTAAATTGTGCAAAATTTCTGTCAAACATTTGAAAATTCATGTATATTAGACTTGTATCTTCAGTGGAGGGCGAGTGAATCTTTGTAAGGCCTGCCTGTAATATAAATGAATGGCAGATTGAGCACCTGTGCCCCTGTCTCTCCTCATTGGTCAAAGGCAACCACCATGGGAACATATGTATGAAATTGTATTTTATTATTTTCCATTCTCTGGTTTCTAAATGTTTTGTGGTTGTTTTTGGACAATAATGAAAAATAAACTGCTTTTTCGTTTCACCTTCAAACTTTGTGTGATTCTTCTTAATAAATCTTTTTAAATTTTAACTATTTTTAAGGCATATTGTAAAATGGTCCACCACCTAAGATGTCCATTGGTAATTGTTATCATCTTTGAAGTTGAAATGGTCAAAATCTTAATGTTTGACCTATATTCTATTAGTTTTGCACAACATAAAAACAGAAATTACCTAAAAGTTATAGGTCTGACAAACCAGGAAGTAAAGAGCATAGAGAACTTGCTTTTCTCGTGCTGCTGTGGTTTTTCAGAAGCGCGTGATGTTTTTGTGGAGTTTTAATTGAAATAGCCTAATCGATTGTCTTTCCCCGAATCAGATCCCTTTTTGACCAGTATAGAACTATGTTTGTTTGTTTTTTTTTTGTTTGTTTGTTTGTTTTTTTTTTGTTTTTTACACTGTAGTCTAAATCTCCTTATGTCTAAAGATGACTCAGAGGTACACTGTGTAACTTCCATGCTTAAACTGGCATGAAAATGGCACGTAGCGTAATCATCATGTATTAATTTAATTAGAGGTGTTTTGATTGCCTTGAAAGGCTGTGAGATTGCTTGCCTATCCAAAGATCGGTAACGTGGCATCACCTACTTGTCTCCATATGGATAGACAAGTTTAACGCCATACTATGGGACATCGCAGACATCTCCATGGAGACAAGCAGAGTACACACACACACACACACACACACACACACACACACACACACACACACACACACACACACACACACACACATACACACACACAAAAGAAATCATAAATATTTAGATTTTTTTTTAAATTATGATTGAATACGAAAATGTCAAATAGATCAAATAGAGCGTATGTAATTTAAAATGTTCAGTTTTGTTATTGCCTAAATGAAACTGTTAAAAAAAAAAAAAAAAAAGTGGGATGATACATTGCTCCGATTGGTTAAAACAGGTTTGGAGATGAGGTGATTTTCTTGCATTTAATCATCTTGTCAAATGTTTGCTCTTTGATTGACTGAAGCCGCCGTCTCCCGGAAGTCCAGCGGAAAAACGGAGATGCGGTGAAGCAGCCGACTGTATTCGCATAAATTACACAGTTCCAACATGTCCTGGGATTTCTCGGACGTGCCTCCTCGTATCTCCTCCTGGATCACCTTTCCGGTTCAATTTCTCTAAGGTACATCGCATGATTTCTTTGTTTTACTTATAATTTCCTTTCATGATTTTCTCTGTTAGCACGTGCCATTAAAACGAATGGCATGTTAGCCTCCGAGCTAACTGGGGCAACTTGCTAATAATAACAACTGACTGATTAAGCAAGCTACACGGTGAACAAAAGATATCGATTTCAAAAGTGTTTACTAGTCATATGATTTATTTGTAAACAACAAATTACGTAAATTAGCTTCACTAGCATTGTGGGATCTCATTATTCAAAGTATTATTCTTACGAGGAGAGGTGAATTTCCTCTCGTCAACATCACTAAACATTTAATTTCATGTATTAAATCGACTAAAACGTGTCTCCTTATTACAGAAATAATACAGATCTGTTGAATTAGTCAGTGATTGAATTCACAAAACGGACATTGTCAAAGTTGTACACCAAAACAAGCGACAATCCTACTCCCAAACATGAAGTCATAGTCTCGGTATTGGTTCTTAAATGAATAACGTTGAGGAATGACTTTTTCCAGGTTTTTAAATGCCATTCTTGCTGCTTGTGTGGCTTTCTCCTCAGAGCTAAATAATAGCTACAGGCCCATGGTTATGTCATGAGACAGCAGTGGAAGATAATAAAAGTTTTATATTGATTTAGTGTTTTGCATTGCTAGATAATTCCCTGTTTTTGGCTTTGATATGACTTCTGCAGCCTCATAATTCTTTGTGGAGTCAAGATCAGTTTGAAAAGACAAAAACAACCAGACATTAGACGTTTCTCAGACAGATTAAGCTGATTAGGTTAGACTTTTTGAACTTATAAGTATATAAAATATGCAGTACTTGGAATTGTTTTGCTGTGATAATACTACGATATATTGCAATAAATGATAATACTGAAAACACTTTATGCCAGTGACACAGTAACAATAAAGCAAGATCATTCCAGTACACCAATATTTAAATGGACTTGCCTGAGCTGCAATAAATAAATAACAACATTAAGCAATAATTAACCATACAAGCTACTTTTTTCAACTCTCTACAGCTCAAATCCTACTGCATTCAACTACAACAAAATAGAACAAAAGTCTCAACACTAATGCAAGTAAAATGCGCATATGATAAATACAGAGTCCCAAATTACATTGTTCCATTTATCATCTGCCAAAAGATAAAAGTTGTTTCAAGTAATCCAAAATTGGCCAAAGAATGTAAATATTTCTAATCTGCTGAATCGTTCTAAACCAAACATTGTGGTTTGTTATCTTGGACCCTTAATTATGTTATGTCTGGACCGGCCCGTGTCTGTAGAATCAATGAAGGAAGCATTAAACTCTGATGAGAATCTGAGATGAGATATGGTTGTATATTTTATTTGTAAATGACAGGTGACTATTTAGCTTCACATGCGTCACTGAAAAAAAAACAGATTTGATTGGACAATCACGTTTGACCAGGTTTGAGACACAAAGGAGACTGTGGGGGGGAGACTGATAATGATCTGTATAAAAATATGGATAGATACCGTTCTGTATTTACAAAGAAAGACCAGCCCCAGCCATTTACTCTTTGAAGTAATAGCCTACGTTAAGTTAGTCTTCAGGACGACATCACATCCATTGCATTAACCTTACTGCAGTGTAATATTTTGATGTCACCCTTTTATCATTTTTTTCCATCTGTGGCTTAACAGAATAATTTCCAATAACAGTGGTTGCATTAGTGAAAATATCTCGTAGCTTTTTACAGTTTAAAATAGAGAGGAAGGGTGCAAAGTGTTCTGTGATAAAAATTTGTACCTTATGTGCCAAAATGGAATGACCCAGTTTGTGTTTTAATATTTCTGTAATTACTCTATAATTAGCTTCACAAATTAACCAATATGTTTTATCAAAAGCAACTGGGATTTTTATGTAATCTCAGTAATTCCATAAGAAAAATGCAATGTTTATGGAACCAATTACAATTTGTGGAATTCTGTGGATGCTTTTTTTCTAAAACTGTATAGCACTCAAACATAAATCAAGTTCCAATAAAAACATTAATGATTTGATCGATACATACTATCCTTTACATTTACACATTAAACATAATTGCTCTTGAAATTTTTCTGTGTGTGCAAGTTGCCTTGTGAATCAATAAAGTTTGTGCAAGGACACCATATTGCACTTATATAAGGTCTAAGGTTTAGTTCCAGTTTAGTCCTAACTGGAACTAAAACTTAGACCTGTCACAATAATTACCATAGCAACTTATCGTTCAATATATGAAAGCTGGAACAATATATATATATATTTTTGGCTTTTTGATCAGACTTAAGCCAAAAGAGTTGTATAAATAACTACCATGACTCATTACAGATACAAATTAAGTACTTAAAGGTGCACTGCATAACTTTTTGGTTGGGGGTCCATTACGTGCTTGTTTCTATAAATATGTCATTGCTGTACCTGGAATGTTCCACAGTATGACATTAACATTTATTCAATTACAGCTAGTTTTATAGCTCAAAACCTAGAAAAACTAGCATTCTGACTGTGAGTGGGGTCGCCTCACCACAGATCTGACTTGTAACTTGGCTCTGCTTTGGTCTCCATGAACATATAAAAGTTTAATGCCATACTGTGAAACATTCCAGCCAAGCACGCTTATTCTGTTGTTTATTTATTGCAGATTTTTTTTTTTTAAACAATATTGTGCATTTAGAATAGTTTTTGTAGTTTAAATCTGCCCTTGAATTTTTGTGTCAGTGCATAAATAAGTTAAATATTCTTGTTTATCATCTGAATTTACTTCAGTAATATATCATACTTTTGTTATTGTGACAGGCCTACTAAATCTGGAATTAACTGGGCTCAAACCAGGACCGGATAAGTCATGTGAACGCACCCTAGGACTAATAAAACAAATCTCAAAGCTCTTCTCTTGTGTTCCAGAGGGGGCCCTGTGTGAGCGCAGTCATGCCCATAGGAGAGCTCCGAGAGTCGGGGAGCCTCCCGGCCATCGCCTCCCTGAACGCGTCCTACTCCACCTCCATGTCCATCCCTTCGCCGTACATATTCGTCCCTCCTTCGGAACGCAAAGCCATCTCTGACGTCCGCCGCACCTTCTGCCTCTTCGTGACCTTTGACCTCCTCTTCATCACCATGCTCTGGATTATTGAGCTCAATGTGAGATTCCAGCCTGCAGTTAGTATTTAGAAAGTAGGAAGTAGAAAGAAAAAAGGAAACAAAACACTGAATGAGAGCGTGCGTTCCAACTTTAATGAGAGGGTGCTTTGACACTCCCTCTTATTCAGTGTTTCGTTTTCCTTTTTTCTTACTTAGATAAACACCAGACAGATGGAATTATTTAGTAAAGAAAAAATGCTTTACTAAAACTTTACTTGAACATTTCTCGACAAAGCAAAAGGTGGGCAATTTGGTGATTTGGTTATTACTGTACTTTTTTCTTTGTTACATAATTCCATACATCTTACTTCATATATTTGATGTATTCTGTATGTATATAAAATGTAGACCGTACAATTCAAGTTCACAGTTCAAAGTAGTAAACATATAGAAAAAGAACATCGAATGAGAGGCTGAGTCCAAACTTTTGACTCGTGGTTTATTTGTATTCAGTATACTGTTAGTTGTATTGTTTACATCATGTTTAATTGGTGACTTTTTTTTTTATCCCAACAGTATTCCAACAGCAGCATCTGGGACAGCTTAGACAAGGAGGTCATCCATTACAAGTTTGAAACTTCCTTCTTTGACATAGTGGTGAGGAACTAGTTTAAGATACATTTATTTATAGTATTCCTTAGTTTTGGCTTGTTTGATTTACAGCCAGAAGTAGAAGTCGAAGATCATTTATACAGGAAGGAACATCTGTTTATTATTAATACAGTTTTGACCCTCAGTGTAAACACATCAAAAATAACTTACAAAAAGAAAGAAGTATCATGCCATGTAGGGCTGTGCAATTAATCCCATTTAAGCCATTGAGATTCAGTAGTTCCTAACTGTCACTGATCATCTTGGGTCTTTTTAATGGTCTACAGCCAATCTTATTTTGGCACCAATATATAGGGGCAATTTTGATTATTTTTGCCTAATTAAGATAAAATAAGATAATCCGTTATTGTCTCCCATGGGAGAAATTTGTCTTGGGACAGGGGGGGTCACATGCTTTATCAAAAAACAGGACAACACAACACAAAGCACCACATAAACACCACCATAGAACAAAAAAAATACGAGACCAAATATGACCCCGAATGATGCACCAACAGGACCTTTAAAACATTCTTTACAGGCAAGCCCTTGCATTCTTGTATTCTGTTAAAAATTGCACACTCCCTAAGCCTATGTGCAGTTTTGATTGCACATTCCCTAAGCCTATTATGTATTTTGTCATGTCATTTTTTTTACCTTAACCTTCAAGAGAGCAGTGTAATCATGTTTTAAACAGTTATCTATTTACATTAAAGTGTTCAAATAAAGCTTTGTGTGTACTCATTAGGCAGGACATTGGCCAAAACTAAATATTGATGTATGGTGGAGATTTAAAGCCAATAACCGATTTGCTAAAAAGTACAAATATCGGTGCATCTCCATCGTGGTTTACCAATTACTTAAAGTCTGACTTGTTTTATATTCCAGTTTGAGCAGTATCAGTGAGTGTGAGGAACAAAATTACCCAGCCCTACTGCTATGGGTTGAAATGAATATTATGTGATTACCATGCAGGTAGTTTTGAATTAGATTGATAGATTACTATATTATTATTACATGGATAAAACACTGTTCAGTTTTACTTACACATTTTACTACAAAAGCAGTCACCTCCAGTACACATAAGATTACTATTAATATTACAACATTGCAAGTGAAATCTCATGTAGTTGCATTATATTATGACATCGCTTTTTAAACTGACTTGTCATCGTTTGTACTGATTTACCCAAAAGGAGAAATCTGTTTGCAGACTCAACATTACTGAAGCTTGTGACCACGTATTTAAAAGTATCTGTTCATTTTGTTTATCTCAGCTCCTGGCCCTCTTTCGCTTCCTGTGTCTACAACTGGGCTATGCTGCCTTCAAGCTCAGACACTGGTGGATGATTGCGGTAAGAAGACAGTCACAAGATCTTAAAAATACCCCTGAACCACAGATTTTTTCCCCAATATAGTCCAGTAACCATAAATTCCTGTATGTTGGTTTCTTTTAGGTGACTACTCTAGTGACCAGTGCCTTTCTCGTTGGTAAAGTGGTCAGAATCTCCCACGTAAGTTTGGCATCTACAGTTCTCATTTGGGGTTTCAAAATAAACAATTTCATTTCCTCATTTTGATAACTGTACTGCATCTTTTCAAACTGAACGTCATACTATTGATTTGGGGTGTCAAGATGATGGTTACTGAGGTCACAAGATAATCATCTCAAGAAGTGAAAATGATAATTGTGAGAATTGCTGGCATTTCCATCCAATCTAAGTAAAAAAGCAACTAAAAGGGCCCATATTTCACTTTTTTCTGATCTGTGTTATAATGTGTCCGCATCAAAAACATGCCCAGAGTTGTGTTTTGTTTCATTCACATATATTTAACTCATAAACCCTGCATTTTTCTTATCTTAAACAAAAAAGCACTCTGTTCCATTTTGTGATATCAGGTAGGAAATGCTCCACTGTGTTTTTAAACTCTGTACACCTTCATGAGAGTCATGTGGATGCTTTCAAAGGTACAAGGTATCTGTTAAATTAGAAAGCTATCACTAAATAACATTACATAACATTCTGAGGTTTGGAAATTTAGACAGACTAATAATAAAGGATTACTCAAATGTTTGAATGAAACAAAACACCACTCAAAGCATGTTTTGGAGGAAGTGACAACATTATAACGTGGCTTAACGCCGTAAGTTTTTGCATATTATAGAATCTTATTATAGGACTTCTCGGTTTCTTGGTGGTGGTGTCAGTACTTGTGAATAAATATAAAATGCCAACTCTAACTCTAACAATAACGGCGACACTAAAATTTTATATTGTCGTGTTCTTACGACTGACTGCTGTAATGACGGCTCGTACTGATAACAGACAATAAACCTTTGTCTAATGTAAACACAGATACGGGAACTTAAACTTCCGTCTGCTCATAAACAGATCCTGAGTAACAATTTTCTGAGTAATTGAAATTGTAATTCCAAAAGAAATTGCATTTCCTGTTCCTACAACAATAGCTAGAATGGGCATAATTTATACAACTGTATACAAAAAGACTTCATATTTGTTATGGAATATTGTTCATGCTTTTCAAAAACACACTGTGGTACTTTTCTGGTTTTCTGGGGTGTTGAGTGCCCAATAGCCTCCTCGGAGATGTTATAGCTTTGTCTGGAGTGTTCCAGTGTATGGCATTAAACATTTTGCATTTAATTTCTGGTGTTTTCATTGCTCAAAATACAGTGAAAAACAAGTATTCTCACTGTCAGCACACTTGCCTCTCCATAGATCTGACCTGTCTGGTCACAACTCAACTCCAAGTATGCTTTTGAGGAAGTAACAACATTCTAACATGTCTAAAAGCTCACAAGAGTAAATTTTTTGTAATATACTGTAGAACCTTTAACTCTATCCTGTGAAAAAATCCAAACAATGCAGTAACAACTCCATGGAGATGAGCAGGGAGCTGAACCTCTACCAGAAAAGTTACACAGTGCACTGTTAATCTTACAAATTTCCCCAAATAACCTCCTTCTAAGTGAGTCTCTGTGTACTTTCAGGTCATGTCAGATAATGCGTTTGGATACGTGCTGCCCATAACCTCCTTTGTGCTGGCCTGGTTAGAGACCTGGTTTCTGGACTTTAAGGTTCTCACACAGGAGGCTGACGATGAACGAGGTGAGTGTTTTTACTGACAACTTTTAACCACAGAGCAACAGATCATAAAAAACATGTCTCCTTTTTCACCTTCACATCTTTAATTCTTCAGCGTACTTGGCAGCGGTGAATGCAGCGTGTGAGCGGGCCCCCATGATCTACCCCAGGGCAGTTTCCGAGGGGCAGTTTTATTCCCCGCCTGAGTCTCTGGCAGGTGAGGACTGCACGGGTCAAATATGAGCTGTAATTAAAACTCTAGTTTTTTGGCAGCAGTTAATAATGACACTGGAGAGTTCATGTCCTCACTTCATTCTCCATATTTAATACATTGTAGTGGTACTTGTTTGTAATGCATCAATAGAAATGGGAGTTACAGTAAATACTTTGGATTAACTAATGGATTAACTGCATTGTTGAGTGAATAATGGTGTTTATATGAAACGCATACAGACATACATGTTACCCTTTACGTCAAGAGTGTCCAAACTATGGCCTAGGAGGCAAATGTGGCTCTGAGACCAATTTTTATTGTCCCTCAGACCTTCTAGAGAATCATCCCAATTGATAATATGTTGTTCCTTTTTACTGCAAATTTAAGTAATTCTACCACTATAACTTTGATAACATCACATTGCATTGTGTTACAGACCTAAATTGACTTAGGCAGGGGCAACAGCCTGTCCCCAAAGGTGCTCTCCTGTCTGGTGAGGGTGCTGTTGGGGGATGCTGGTTATCCAGGATGGACAGGAGCTTGTTTAGGGCCCTCTAGTCAGCCACAAAGGTGTTGGGTCTCTCCCAAAACTATGATAAATGCATCTATCTGAATGAGCCACAGTACTGATCACGGGTCTGTGTCCCTCTGCTTCAAATATGTGTCAAGATGTGGCACTTTGGATACGCATGTATTACGTTCTGCAACCCATGCCCACCAAAATCGAATTATAATCTGAGTGAATGTAAATCATGACCCCTAAACATCCCTAGTTTCTTTTATAGTGTGTGCTTCAGTAATAGGAGTGGGAGATTTAACTGTTTATGTGCTAATTATATATTTACCATGTTTTTTGTCTTCAGGCTCAGAGGAGAGTCTTGATGAGGAAGGGCTGGGCCGTAGAGCCGTCACAACACAGGTATATGCACTCAGAAGAATTGAAAAGTATTTGAGTATTTGCCCCCGCGACCTGGCACCGGATAAACGGAAGAAGATGGATGGATGAAATTGTTTTTAATCTCCTAAAATCATTGTGTATCCATGTGTGTAGGAGAAGGAGTTTGTGCGACAGGGGAAAGAGGCCATGTCTGTGGTGGAGCAGATCCTCTCCCAGGAGGAAAACTGGAAATTTGAAAAGAACAATGTGAGTCTACTATTTAGTCATAATGTGTTTTTAAATCGAGGAAGAGAGTGGGAAAAAATATCATATAAAAATAGTCTGCCTGCAAAATCAGCTGATTGAAAATACAAACATAGCAGCCCGCAAGACTAATCACAATCAGTTTTTAGCTATTAGGCCCATTTGTAATAGTAAAGGACTTTTATTGTTTTTTATTAGTGTACCTCAGATATTTTATTCAAGCCCTGTGTGGCATACATGTTTGTGCTATGACAGTAAGAGGCTGATCTTGTATTTTAATGATATTCTCTTGTCCTGATTTTACACTTAAAGGATCCACTGAAGCTCTCACCTTATTTATCTTAGCAAACTGTAAAGACTGCCATTATTGAAGTCCTTTAAAACAACAAAATATCCTGTCTTAACTAAAAACTGTTCACTGTAGTTTAGACCTTTACAAACATGTTTTGAAGCTCATCTGATTCTTGTTCATTAAATGTTCATGTTTCAGTCTTCTCTCAAATGTTAATGCTTCAGGACATGTTTAAAAAATAGAACTTTGAACCAAATCCAACTATTGAAATATAAATCTCAAATCTAATTATAATCTCAATGTTTTGAAAACCTCAGTTGGATATTTGGCCAAAATCTTTCAACCGTGCTAGCAGTAGTAATTTATTTTTAATTAATTTATTAAACTTGTATTTCTCCAGTTTTAACATCAGCTGTGTTTTTTCAGGACATGGGCGACTCTGTGTACACTCTGGAGATTCCCTTCCACGGAAAGACTTTTATTCTGAAGGTACAGTGTTCTATCTGTGTATCTGTAATGAGCAGGATAATATAATAATCCCTATTCATGCTTACCGGAAGACATTTGGAAATATGTGGATGATGACTTGTATAGTTACCAACACTGGGCCAACCTGCCAAAGCTTTCCATGTGGGACTGACTCAGATTTTTTATTAAGTTAGACATATTATAATACACAAATTAAAAGGCAATTTATAAAAGGGAAAAAGAGGGAATACAGTGACACCTAGATGAAGAAAACCGGGCCATTTTCTCACTTTTCCCAGGTTTTGTCAGAGTTACTACTGCCAATTTTAAAAGATCCATGCCGCCAATAATGTCCTCATCCACATGTTTCCAAAGGTCTTCCATTTTTGTGACTTAAGTGTGAATCGAGCCCATATATAATTTGTTTGTGGTATTTTAGACATATATTTCTACAGTTGGGAACACTACCATTACTGACTTACTAACACTATTACTGCAGCGTCTGCTTGACTTGAATGCACTTTTAAATCCATAGTGTTCTCATAACAATAGTCTCATGGCTTTTGATGGGATTAAATATGGACTGAAAATAAACTACGGTAGATATATAAATTTGGGACCCATCGGATATCGGCATCAATACTCCAAGATATTGATTCAACAGATAACTCATTTTAGTCTATCAGTTGGTGTAATAAGATGATTTACTGGCCAATGACCCAAAATGTCTCATAATATCAAACCTGTATTTTTACAAAGCTGTTTTGTAGTTACACATTTAGATAATTTTTTACCATATGCCTATATTATGCTATTTTGTGATCTAAATGTTGTTTCCTCATCAGAAAATATACCTGAAGTTGTGCTTGTTTCATTCACATTTGTTTAACACACAAACTCTGCTTATTTAGGCTGAGATTTTCTCTCAGACTGAAAACGTATTGTTCCACCCTGTGATGTCATGTGGTAATACAGGAAGTGCTCCTCTGTGTTTTTAAACTCCATACATCATCACTATAATAATTTGGTTGACTGTTAACTTGAAAATTATCGCTTCATAATAACCAAATAAAAAACACCAGGATCATGTAGAGTGGGTTAATACGAACATTTTTAGACCAAAATGACGGTTCTTACTGCGGCAGTTACAGAATGAAGGGTGACAATTTTTCAATATTAAGTCAATTGGAAACAGAATTGATGGAGCCAGAAGCACCCGAATGTTCAATTCCTAACAGTGTTTTATATAAAGTCTATGGCAGTGTATGGACTTACTTCCTCACATACAACCAAATGTTTGTTTACTTTCCATCAGAAAAAACAAACACACAAAAAAATACCACACCACCAGGAACAACATGCACTAACCCACTAACTTCTATTTTACTGAATCATAACTTGTAAGAAGATAAAAGTACCTCTTTGAAACTGTAAGAGTAGGTCATACCATAACACACTTTTTAAAAATTTTACTGGAAATCACTTGAAGCTATCAGCGCTTAAGTTCCTGTTGTCGTGTATGTCATATGGAGGGATTTTCCACGAATACAGTAAACTCGTGTGGGAACTGTCATTAAAGTGAAGCTAGAATTATGGATTGTACTCATTCAGTCTTCTGATCTTTGACCCTTGAGATATCAGAGCTCACACACCAAGCTCTTTGTAATCTCTCCAAGAAACTGTTGTGACCTAGATTTCAAAGTTTATCTGACAGGTTAGACTGTTCCTTTCACTTATGCATATCAAACTAAAATAGAATTATCTTGCCTAGTCTGTTCTAGTTTGATAATCTGATGATGATGACCCATATTACGCTATTTTTTAAAATCCGTTATAATGTTGTTTCCTCATCGCAAACATACCTGGAGTTGTGTTTTGTTTCATTCACACATGTTTAACACACAAACCCTGCTTATTTAGAGTTCTTCTCTCAAAATTAAAACACTTTGTTCCACCTTGTGATGTCATGTAGTAATACAAGAAGGACTCCACTGTGTTTTTAAACTCCATACACCTTCACTAGAATCATTTGGATGATTTCAGCTTTGGAATTGCCAATTTCTACTGATCAAAATCTGAATGGAGCATTTTTTAGCTTTGGAGATGTTGACAAATTTAATCATAAAGGGTTACTCAGACATGAATGAAACAAAACACAACTCCAGGTATGTTTTTGATGAGGCAACAACATTATAACATGGCTTAAAACGCACAAGAGTTAATTCTGTGTAATATAGGAGCTTTAAATGAATGTTTAAACTGCCAGAAATCTGTGTCCCTTCCTCGTACATTTCACCTGACTCGTTTAGATGGTTATCTGCTCTGCTCCAGTGGAATTGTTTAACTCATGTCATCATGTGTTTCAGAACTCAGCGCTACTTCCTGCATTTTTATCTTGCATTTCAACTTCTTTACAAACTTCCACATGATCAAGTAAACAGTCGAAAAACCTTTTAAACTGAAAAATAATGTTAACATAGAAAAATTAAAGAAAGAAACACAATTTTAAGAGCTTGTGATCAACACAAGCGTTCATGGTCCTGTTTAGGTGTTTGATTTTTAACCAAAAGCTGAGAGTGACTAACTGTGAGAAACTGTTGGCGAATACTACCTGTAATTTTATGTGTGAGTTTGTGTGTTTTAGCGCACAAATCATCTCACCTGTTGTAATTCAAACCAAATCAACTCTCTCTGGCCAGATTGTGTTAAAACAAAACTCAGATTAAAGTCTAACTTGAGTAACAGAGCGTCAAAAGGTGCAGTGTTTTCAGATAGCGTCACACCCCCAGGGAATGTTGATGACATCAGCTGCAAAGTATCAATAAAGCCTTTCGTGTTGATCAGAGGAGGCTGTGTTTTTAAAGTTATAATTAAATATTTGACTAAATACTTGTTTTCCCCCTAGGCGTTCATGCAGTGTTCAGCAGAGCTCGTGTACCAAGAGGTGATTTTACAGCCGGAGAAGATGGTGCACTGGAATAAAACTGTCACAGCCTGTCAGGTAACTCTAATGCATATAGTTCAAATGGAAACTTTTATTTCCTTTCTGCTTAAAGGTGCACTATGAAACATTTTGGTTGAGGGATCCGTCACCTGCTTGTTTCTATGGATATGTCATTGCTCTGCCTGGACTGTTCCACAATATGACATTAAATAGCTCTATCTTGCATTTTTTTTTATTTCAATTTGTTTTATAGCAGATCTGACCTAGAACTTGGCTTGTTTTAGTTTCCATGAAGATAGAAAGGTTTAATGCCATACTGTGAAACATTCCAGACAAAGCAATAACATCTCCACAGAGAAAAGCATTTGACGGATCCTCCACCAGAAAAGTTACACAATGCAACTGTATTTAACTTATTAACTTTTTTTTTTTGTAATAGATATTGCAAAGAGTGGATGACAACACACTCATATCGTGGGATGTCTCAGCCGGAGCAGCAGGGGGTGTTGTTTCCGCGAGGTACATGATTTTAAACCTTTTATATTATTTAGCAAATCAAATTGTTTACAAATTAAAGATTTAAAGACAACACATTTAACAACACATGTATGTATTTATTTATTATTTATTATTTATTATTTATCGACTTATGTATTCATTCATTCACTCATTATAGATATAGTACAGTGACTGGGTCCAAAAAGGCTTTTTGCTGTTTTATTTTTACCTATTTCCAACTTGTTACACTTATCATTAGGTAATGTAAACGTAGATGGGTGTCTGTGTCTTTTTGTTTTAGGGACTTTGTAAATGTTCGCCGAATTGAGCGTAAAAAAGACTGTTACCTGTCCGCTGGCATGGCAACGGAGCACGACGCCAAACCACCCTGCGGCCGCTTCGTCAGGTCAGAGTGGAACTTTAACTCATTATTTTGTGTATGTATTCAGACTTCTACATTTTTTATGAACTATTTTTGTACATATGTTTTTCTTTAGAGGTGAAAATGGTCCTGGTGGGTTTGTGGTCCTAAAGTCCAGCAGTAACCCGTCCGTCTGCACTTTCATTTGGGTCCTCAACACAGATCTGAAGGTGAGGAGACAATTTTGATTTAAAGGTCCTGTATTACACAAAATTGACTCTTGTGAGCTTTAAGCCAGTAAAGTGATCACTTCATCAAAAACATACCTGAGTTGTATTTTGTTAGCATTTTGTTTGGAGGAGCTGCCACTTGCTTATGCTGCAGTTACAAATGGACCTTTTAAAAGTAGAACGACTCTGGAAAAAAAAAGAAATGAGCGCTTCTCTTTATTTTAGCGTTTCTTACCTTTGTTTCCAGGGCCGACTCCCGCGCTACCTCATCCACCAGAGTTTAGCAGCCACCATGTTTGAATTTATGAGTCATTTACGCCAACGCATCACTGACATCAGGGGGTCCGGGCGCTCCCACCATCACCACCACCACCCTTAACGCAGAAGTAACCCCCCACTGTGGATCTGTGGGGTCTTTCCCTACAAATTTATTTTTTTATTATTATTTGCCTGAACTCCAAATAATGAACTTGTTAAACTAGTTTGTTTTTTTTTTTTTTTACATATATGGACATCTACAGATATATCAATGGACTGCTGTTATTTTTTTTTTTTTGGACCTTACTAGCTGAGATTTTTACACTTTAAAATGAAGTCGGCCACCTTATGTCTCGTACGGAATTGTTACAAAGCCGGTGAAGCAATAGCATGACTGAAAACTATTTTACGAATCTCTCTCTGAGCCTTAACTCACAGCAAATGTGTAAGTCCAGTTTTGATTTGCTGCTCTGTTGAATGTTTTGTTCTTTATCTTAATAATGGTTCACAAAAACACATAGCCATATATTTTGGTGCACTGTGTCGATTTTTGGTTGGGGGTCACCTGCTTGTTTCTATGGATATGTCATTGCTCTGCTCCGAATGTTCCAAAATATGACATTAAACAGCTCTACCTTACAATTATTCAGTTACAGGTGGTTTTATAGCTCATAAATAACTAGAAAACCAGACATTCGGACCTGTAACTTAAACTGGTTTAGTCTCCATGAAGATAAAAAGGATTAATACCACACTGCGAAACATTCTAGACAAAGCAATAACATCTCCATGGAGAAAAAATATCTGACAGGCCCTCCACCAAAAAATGACACATTGCATCTTTAATAATGGTTCACTAAAACACATAGCCATATACTGTATTTTGTACAATGTTTATCATTAAAACTATCGTTAACACTGTACTTTATTCACATATTTGCACTGGAGTGACCACTAGAGGGCAGTGCCACTTCTTCAATGGAAAAAACAGCTTGTCTCACATTGAGGTAAACAGCCAATTTATTTCGTCAAAGGGCTTACACAAAAATATTCAGCAACAGATAACCATGCACTTTTATCTGTAAGAAGGTATCTGGTCAACTAATGGGTGGCGTTCATGTTCTAGTCATCAGATTGGGGACCTGTAGATTACTACATCTACTGTTTTTGAATGAAATATCGAAACATGATTCACAAATGTTGAAACTCGTCAACAGTTTGTTAGGCATTGGGTCTCTACACACTGTTGACCATATTATTTATTTTATGCCTTGAAGTCTGACAGCTGACAATAATCATGTATTTGGGGTTGAAAAATGACACCATTTTCTGACGTTACCGTTAAAAAAATCACTTGTTTATTTATGTTGACAGAGAAGATAATGTTTTGTTTTTTTTTCTTTTTGTTTCATGTGGTTAGGCCGACTAATCACAAAGATATTAACCATGAACCAGATCAAAATATTTGCAATCTGACAGTCAAAAGGCAAATCGTACTATAGAATTCTGACCTTGCTTCCAGCTCCATTTAAAACTATAGGCTATTCTAGATGTTGTGAATGTGCCCTATTAATTACGTGCGTCGCCATGGGAATAAATGAGAGTAGAACAGTGCTAACCACTCTACTTTTCCCAGTAGAGAAATTTGACTTTGTTTATTATCAGTTAAGTTATTTTTAGACAAGGACAAATGTACTCTGTGAAGGATGTGTTTTTTCTTCTATTTTTGTGACGGTGACCTCTAGTGGCCTTTTCCACAAACAGCCAAGTCATTATTGTCTCCCTTGATTATCGTTAGGTCTATTGTGGACATGTCCAGGGGCTAACAGTGTGGCTTTATTTTAGTTCTGGTTTTCTGTTTATGCTGGCAGTTAAAGCGTTACATTTTAAAATAATCATAATTAGATCTGTTCAAGGTTGTTTTGTTTTGTTACCTTAAAGGTGCATTGTAAACTTTCTGGTGGAGGGTAAGTCACCTCCTCTTTTCTATGGATATGAATGTTCCACAGTATGACATTAAACAGCTGTAACTTACTTTATTCAGTTACAGGTGGTTTTAAAGCTCAAAAATGCCTAAAAAAAAAATGATTTGGTTTGCATGAAGATAGAAAGGTTTAAAATCATACTGTGAAACATTCCAGATAAAACAATAACATTTAAGCATTTAATGGACGCTCCACCAGAAAAGTTACACAATGAAGCTTTAAGAAGAAGTTATAATTGCAATATTTGTAACGCAGGTGTAACTTATAACTTATAGGTCTAACTTATACGTTGAGTTACATGACTTTATAAACTACCTATTCTTGGGTTCTTGTTTTGAGGCGCCATTTTGAGCACTTTTCACCGTTCAGAAGATATAATATTTGGTTGAATTGTTAACCGCTATGGCAACGGTGCTAAGTAGAATCCATATGTTTTGACCTGGTTTATAGCTGACAAAAACTGGTTCAGTAGCTTCTCTGCCAACACAAACTCGAGTTGTTTTTTTTTAGCAATAGTTTCAAAACAGCTATTTGAAGCTATTGTTCAAACTGTACTTAGAGGTGTAAAAGTTGCAAGAACTTTAAGCCATAAAATTAATTTGAAAAATTGGTTAACCCAATCAAAACATAATGATGCAGTTATAGATGCTTTTAAGTTTGGCTATTTCTTCATACTGAACTTCATAATGATGTTGTGAAAATCCGTCATCTTTGTTTTGAGTTTGCAAGATATCCAGAGCGAATTGTCCAGGGGGAGCGCCAGACATTTTTGGTTGGAGGAGCTACGGGGGTGCACACTTAACTTGTTAATTTAGGGCCTTTGTACGGATGTGAGCGCACCCACGCCCCCTCTACCATCTTTGCGTCGCAGTTTTGAACATAAATCTAGTTAGCTCCTGTAATGATTTATGAAACCTAATATAGAGTTATTCTTTGTTTGCATTTTGAACTCTGTGGCTGCCATTTGAACATTTTGTGTCGAGATTTAATGTCCTAAGAAAATGGTGCTGCCCCTGGAATTGACCAAAACATCATACCGGTAGTAGCGATGGAAAACCTCATTTGCTATTGAATCATTATTAGTAAATACAAATCAGTTAATGTCTGAGTACTTTACTTTGAGCAGCTTGTCTCTTTAAATCTCCATTGATTTAACGTGACGTGAACACAGCCTATTAGCCTGAAGATCTAAGTGGTGTGAACATTCTTGAGCTCTTCATGTGAACTAAGATAAAAGTGGCTGTGTCAGATCGCTAGAGTGAACATTTAATGAACCGTAACAATGCAGCGTTGTGACCTTATTATATCTTATAACAACATAATATTACAAACTTTGGATCTCTTGTTTCTTTATTTTGTATATTGTATTTTTTTTGCTGTCTGGTCAACATTATGGTGCCTTTCAAACCTGCCTTTTTGAATGTTTTTGTAGCATAATCAGTTGTTAAGCTGTGTTTATATTGGTTTACACTTGTTTGTCTGTATATGCATCAAACTAAACTCAAAGCCATCGTATGACCAAATGTTGAAGTCTTAACCATTTTCTTATATTGATTAAAATGGTAACATTTTAAAACTCTTATGTACTGTTTTCGTCGTTGGGTCTAGTGTACAATATTTTATTTCACAAATTTTCAAGGGCCTATATCAGGGGTCTACCAGTAGCTCTCCACCTCCTTCCAAGTAGCTCGCCAAGGGATTTCTGAATGTATTGTGCTGAATAAGTTAAATCTGATTAATTACCAATGTTAATGTATTATTTTCATGTCTAACTTTGTGCACTGATAAATGGATAATGGTTTATGTTTTAGAGGCATCTGACTGTTCCGCGTCTAAGGTTTGCCAAGGCTCTTATATACTTTGTTTCTTTGCGACTGCTAAAATTGGTAGCTCTCTGACATTTTCGTTTTGTAAAAGTAGCTCACTGGAGGAAAAACGTTGGAGACCCCTGACCTATATTGTGATATTTTTATCTGTTATAATGTTTTCTCATCAAAAACCATACCTGGAGTTGTGTTTTGTTTCATTCAAATCCTATGTATTTAGGCTGAGTTCTTCACTCCAACGGAAAACTCTGTTCCACTTTGTGATGTCATGTGGCCATACAGGAAGTGCTCCACTGTGCTTTTAAACTACATACACCTTTACTAGAATCAGCTGGACCATTTCAGCCCTTGAACTGCCACGCTCTACTGAACTAAAGGTAAAAGGAAGGTAGGGAAACGACCACTTCATGACATCACAAGGTGGATCAGAGCATTTTGAGTTTTGGACATGTTTACAGACTTATAATAAAGGCTTACTCAAACGTGTGGATGAAACTTAACACAACTCTAGATATGTTTCTGAAGATGTTTTAAAGGTCACAACCATTTTGCTTCATATAGGACCTTTAAACTATCTTCTAAATCAGTGCATTCATGAGGACAGATGAAGTGTGTTTAACGTTACTGTTCGGAGAGGGGACGTCCTGGAGGCAAAACACCAAACGCACAGAGGAGCTGCTGGCCTCATGTGATAAGACTGTGACTGTCTCCTGAGCGCTGGGGGTGTGAAGGCTCCACCAGAGGAGAAGAAGAAGGTCCTCACTGCTCCCAAAGCCAAAGACGAGGGCTGGAGCTGAAGATCTCAGCTGGACATACTGTGTGAGGAGACCCGATACCGGATAATATTACTGTGTGTGGTGATCGCAAAAGCAATGGGGAGCTGGAAATAGGTTTGGTTTATTTATTATTTTATTGTTGTTTATTTTGTGTGTTTTTGCAGATGTTAAGCTCAAGTTGTGGTAATGGTTTAATTGTTGTTTATGAGGGTGGAACAATTTAGGAAACGCATTCAATTAGATTCAATAGATTTGCGATTTATGTTTTAATGATGGCGTTCTGTTCTAAGTCCATATTTTATACGCTTCCAGAAGAATTAACAAAAAGACTGAAATATGAACTGACAAACTAATACAGGAAAAACGGACCTAAACTGAAGAAATTAGCAGTTTTTACAGATAAGACAGGATCTTTTTTTATTTGTGGAGGAAATTACAGTACTTAAAAAAATCGCAGCCTTTACAGTCTCCCAATTGTGTCCATTCAAATTATGATTTTGATTTGACTGTGATCGATCTTGCAGTAGCTCGAGTACATGGTAAGTTAGACTGTATGACACTCCAATAATGTGAATCAATCATTTCAATAGAATGGACTTTGTTACAGTTTAACTGGCTTAGATTTATGGTAGTATATTACAAAAAGTCCTTTCTTAGTCCTGGTCGAGTCCCTGTGTAGCCTTTATTATTCCTCTGTTTTCGTTTAGGTTGAGGTCTTTGGTGGGATAAACATATTATATTGGTTTAGTCTTGGTTGAGTCCAGTTTTAATCCAGTTCTTTGGCGTGGTGCAGCTAGGACTATTTATCTGATTTATCTCAGGATATATCTCAGTTACCTTTAGTATTTTCAATTCAAACTTTTAATCATTTGGAATGTTTTCATTCAGTCAGCAATAATATTTCTCCATCTCTGTCTCCAGGCCTCCAAACCATCAAAATCTCCACGGTGGACCTTCTAGACCTACCCCACCTTCTCAGGCAGCTATCCACCAACGTTTTGCAAAAAGAAGGTTCAATCCAAGACCTGAACCCTGGAACCATCTGTGATTTTGTGTACCTCTTTTTGGTTTGACTGTTTTTAGATGGGGTCAGCGTTTGGGAGGTTCTGTATGCAGTTCTTTTGCTGCTGCTGCGTCGCAGACGAGGAGGATGAGGACGAAAAGGAGCCACTGCTGCCGTAAGTGAAAATAATTAAGATAAATAGTTAAAAATAGTTTCTTCATGTCAAGATAACAATTCAAAATTATAATTATTATTATTTATGTGAATTTATAATAATAATAATTTCTTTTGAATTACACAATATAGTCTAACATTCAATAAAGGTGCACTGTGTCACTGGATCATCTGCCACCTGCTGTCTCTATGGAAATGTTATTGGTTTGCCTGAAATATTCCACACAAAGTTATAGGTTAGATCTGTGGAGAGGCAGCCTCACTGAATGCATGTTTTTCAAGGTATTATTTTTTTCTAACTAATTATACACTGGCTATTAAATGAATGCAAAACAGTATCATACAGTGGAACATTACAGTAAAGCAATAACATCGCCATGGAGACAAGCGTAACCCTACCTACAGAAGTTACCCTTTAATTTACTCTAATTAAGACCAAAATCCATTGACATGAGTTCATTCTGAATACTACAAAAATATAAATCTATATCCCAAATATACCTTGTTTAGATTTGACAGTAATGTTGTAATTTTGTTTTCTCGGATAGGCCTGACCCACTGGAGTATTTTAACCGTGAAGTGCAGAAGCGCAGAGACGAGGAAACCAACCTGTGGAGCACCCCAGGAGACCCCAGCCACTCTGAGAGGGACGATGACCGGACCCTGTACACCCTGATCCAGGCACGCAACAAGACACGCATGGGCTCTACGGTAAGACGGATTCATTGTGCAATAGTAGATAACAAAGATAGAGACACTTTATTGATCCCAAAATCAGAAATTCAAGTTTTGCTGCAGCAAACTGTTGCAGTTGCTGGTGTTTCAGTTGGTGATGAAATGTTCTATCCCCCCAAAGTATTTCCTCTGGAAGGTCTTCTGCCACATTTGTTTCAAAAGTTTTAAAAGTCTGTAGCGTCTCAAATGTCCGTAGCCAGCTCCTTAGCTAACCTCTTGAATGGATTTGAGAAAAACAAACAGTTCATTTCACACAATCCAACCATCTCTTACTTGTGTCCTTTGAACTGCACATGCTGCTCTTCTAGTTGGTTAAAATCTCATGATATGGTGTTAAAGGTCCAAAATCTAAAAGTTTCAAAAAGTGCTCAGTGTGTGAGACAGGTAGCTACAAAAGCAGCACTAAAGATAAATAGACAGACAGATAGACAGATTTTATTTGTCCCTGTGGCATTCACTGCCAGTTGAAATACTGACTAAGGACAATGGCATCTGAGGGAACTGAGAGAACTTTGCCTTTAAAGTCTCCATGTTTTGGAATGTGTGAAACAAGCTTTGTAGGTCAACAATAAACCCACTATTCTTCCTCTTTGGTTTATATGAGCCTATAAAAACTGTAATAATAAGTTAAAGTGATAACAACACACTTTGTTTTCTTCTTTAGGGTTACAGACGTTTAAGTGTGGACATTGAAGCCATGAGAGACACACGGCGAGAAGTACGAGACAAGTGGAAGACCATACTGGAGAACTTGGGTGAGTAAAACCAGATCTAATATAGATTAAAGGACATTTGACTGGTTAGACAGGAGCAAATATGACATAGAGGTGATTCTATAACTGTTATCTAGCAAACATAATGTGATGACACTAATGAAAACACATGACAACACCTTTTTTGTTAAATCAATGTTTAATCTATCAATAAAAAATAAACATAAATTGTCACTGCATTTGGGAAGGAATTGTCAGTTTTTGATGACATAGAGGTATACTGCTACTTCCACTTAACTAATGTAAAAACCAACAAACCAAAAGTAATAATAAAAAAAAAACATGAAAACCTGTATTTGTGTGTTTTTTTTTTTTTCATTCTCACATGTTCTTCTCAGAAAACCACCTTGTGATGTCATCTGCCAATACAGAAAGTGCTCTACTGTGTTTTTAAACTCTATAAACCTTCACTAGATTTAGATCATTTCAGCCCTGGAATTGCCAGTTTAGGGAACTAAAGATAAAAATTACACTTTAACTTGGAAAACTACTGCTTCATGACATCACAAGGTGGAACAGAGCATTTTGAGCTTTGGAGATGTAGACAGAGTAATAATAAAGGATTAGTCAAACGTGTGAATGAAACAAAACACAACTCCAGGTCTGTTTTTGAGGAGGAAACAACTTTATAACTTGGCTTAAAGCTGACAGGAGTCAATTTTGTGTGATATAGGAGCTTTAAAAACAGAATTATATTGTCTTTGTTTGTGTCTCCAGGTTTCATGGCGGAGGCTGACTCTCTCCTGAACGTCTCTGCCGGAGCGTCTCAGGACCGCATGAGGAACGCGGCGGCGGCTCGGTCAATGCTCAACATGCTCCACACCGAGACGTCCATCTTCAACAGCAGCAAGGACCCCCCACCAGAGAGATACCTCTTCATCCTGGTGAGACTCACAGACTGTTTATCAGAGCAGAGAACCGGGGACATGTGTGGGCTGAACGCTCAGGTGAAGGACAATGAGTTAAAGGGGCACTGTGTAACTTTTCTGCTACAGGTTCCGCCACCTGCTTGACTCCATGTTGTTTTTTTCATTAATGTTCAACAGTATGGTATATAATTTAACTCTCCATGGAGATACGCAGGCCACATCACCAGGCCAAGTTACAGGTCAGATCTGTGGAGAAGTGGGCATCAATTCATGCATCTATTTGTAGTGGTTTTGAGAAATAGAAACACCTCTAAATGACATATTTGTTTAATCTGGAACTTCCCGGATAAAGCAATAACATCACTATAGAGGCAAGCAATGGCAGACCCTCCACCAGAAAAGTTACACAGTGCACCTTTAAGTAGCTATCACCATCAGTTATTGTTGTTATCAATCATTTTAACTTTATGGACAAGTTTCAGAGTGATGAGAAACCAAGACTGTTGCAATGGAGCCAAACAGTGACTGCTCCCTCCTGGTTCTGGAAGTAAATTTCCCATTCATTTTTCCCATAGACTTTCTGAAAAATGTATATTAAAAGTTTAACAGCTTTCTCTGGGCTTCTTCATATTCATCTGTGGTAATGAATGACCACAAGACCTATATTTAGTTATATTATAGTTAAGTTTTTAATGTTATTTTAACTGAAAGCTACCACATTATTGGTCTTAGTTATCACATAGCTGGTTGGCCTCTGTCGTACCTTTAAACTCTTAAAATCTTTCAAAAAAATCTATGGGAAATTTACTTCTGGAACCACAGCAGGCTTTGAAGTGGACGGGACTGTTGAGCTCCATAGCGCTTAACAATTTAAAACAAAAGCCTTCTAAATGTTGCATAATATATAGTATTCTGCCCTACAAAGGCAAAAGACTTTAACTTGCCAGAATGTGAAACTGAGAAAAATTACTTCAAAGTTTCTGTTTTGTCCAGTCAAAAGTATAATAGGTAGGGCTCCCAGAATTTGACCACTAATTGCTATAATAAAGAAATATTTGTGTGTGAAAAATATTGAGCTCAAAGCTGACCTTTGACTCTTATTTCCTCACCAAGATCTAATCATCATGGTGTTTGTTTGAAATGATATAGATTTGGATTTCCTATTTAGTGCTGATCAGGATCGTGCGGCGACACTTACACAGTTAAACAGTTTGACACACAAGTGACTTTGCAGTATAGTATGTGCAGTATGAATAAATACACCAAATATTTTCACATTAAAGATCATTTAAGTATAATTGAATACAAAGATATATTTATTTAACGTGCTAAGACCCGGTGCCAAGGCCACAACAAAAAGAAGGAGGCAAGAGGTTGGATTTTAAAATAAAATATATTTATGAACTAAATCACAAACAAAACACTGTTCATGATAAAAAGGCAGAATACAGGAACTGCCACATAAGGGTCAAAGGGTCCATTTTGAGCTCAATATTTTTCACAGCATTTATTCACATGATAAAAGGGGTTTCAAATACCCCCAAAATGACATTAACTCATTTTTGACCAAACATGATTTTACGCCGTTCTGCCTTTGTAGGGCAGTGTTTTGAAAGTACTGTACTGGACTAGATTTATGGTGCTAGACATGTTTACCCTAGTTTCATTTTCTCATCAGTCACACAAACGTCTCCTGGAGCCACAGACCAACACACAGCTTGTATTCACTCATGCATGTGTCCTATAGAAACTCAACCCTCCAAACCACAACCACCACAGAGCAGATTTATACAGAGAAAATGAGTGAAACACTGTACCCAATGGCAAAACAACAGGATACAATGGTGGAACAGTAACTGAACTATCAACCTACTGGTTAGAGGGTGAATGGTGCAACAGCCTTCACATCAGTTTTAATTTAATTTATTTGTTTTTTTCATATTTTACTTGAGTTCTACTATGATCATTAGGCTATCTGTGGTCTAATATTCTCATGAAATCAACCTACAATAAGGCTTTTGTTCAAATAAGAAGCATTATTGTCTTGTCTCCACATCTCTCTCTTGCTCTCTCTATCTTTCTATCTCTTCGCCCCCTTTCTGACCCTCCCTTCTCTCTCTCAAACTCTCTCCATCTCTCTCCGTCCCATCCCTCATCCCTTCCCTTCTTCTCTCACTCTTCTTGTCTCATCCTCTTCCTCTCCTTCCCCTTTTATCTTCCTCTCTCCATTTCTTTCTCTCCCTCCCCATTTCTCTCCCTCTTCCCCTCTTCCCCTCTCTCCTTCTCTCCAGGATCGCCTCATATACTTGGACATAGCGGAGGATTTTGTAGCCAAGGCCAAACGTTTCTACCCCCCCAAAGACGACGACGACTCAGACGAGGACCCCACAGGGCTGGGGATCAACCTGCCGCTGCTGCTGGCGCGTGTTGAGGCCATGAACGGAGCTCATGACGATGATGAAGATGAGAGCGACGCCAGTGACAGATCCTAAAGCCGCAGTACATCACACTGACACTAGGGGGCAGTGGTTTACAAGCTAGAACACTACATGAGTTTGTGCATAACTAGGCCTACAAGTTTTCTGCAGTTTAAAATGGAAATTACATTTACCACACATCTTTTCTATATAAAGGTGTATTATGTAACATTTCTGGTGGAGGGTCTGCTACCTGCTTGTTTCCTGAGAACTGTATTGCTTCTCCTGGAAAGTTCCACAGTATTGCTTTTTACCTTTCTTCTACTAAAGTGTTTTTGTTGCTGAAAAAAATCCCGGAAAACATGCATTGTTTCTGTGAGCAGGGTTGCCTCTTTACAGATCTGATCTGTAACTTGGCCTCGTGGCGTCACCAGCTTGTGTCTATGAAAATAGAGAAATTTAATGCCATACTGTGAAACATTCTATGCAAAGCAGTGACATTTCCAAGTCGCTGGGGAACCCAACACCAGAAATGCACCTTTAATGGTCCTATATTAAGCAAAATGTACTCCTGTGAGCTGTAAGTCATGTTATAATGTTGTTACCTCATCAAAAACATCATTCACACATGTCTGAGTAATCCTCTATTATTAGACTGTCTGCATCTCCAAAGCTCAAATTCCACCTTATGATGTCATGAAGCAGGAGTTTTCAAGATAACAGCTACCTTTATTTCCGAGACAATTCATCCAATCATCCAAATGATTCTACTGTAAGTACACTACCTGTCAAAAGTTTTAGAACACCACACCTTTTCCAGTTTTTTACTCTTTACCGTTTACTGTTGACCAAAATATATTCTAAACTTTTGATTCATGAAAGTGTCCACCTTTGGCAGATATAAGAGCTGAACACACTCGTGGCTCGTTCTTTTTACAATAGAAATCAAATATTCTTCACTAAGTTCTCCCCAAGTCTGTTGCAGAAGTTTCCATAAATGCGTGGCTCTTGTAGGTTGCTTAGTTTTCACTCTTCTGTCCAGTTCATCCCAAAACCAGCTCAGCAGTTCAAGGGGTTTAAGTCTGGAGACTGTGCTGGGCACTTCATGTTTTGAAGATCACTATCTTGTTCTTTTTTCCTGAGGTAGTTTTTTCAGAGCTTGGACTTGTGTTTTGTTATCTTTTTTTTTTTTCTTAACCTCTGGCTGTTCAGTATTTACCATTGTACCATTTAAATCTCTTCATTGGACTTGCACAACTTGAACTGCAATAAATAACTGGAAAAAATTAGGGTGTTCTAAAACTTTTGACTGGAAGTGTATATGGAGTTTAAAAACCACAGTGGAGCACTTTCTGTTTTACCAACTGACATCACAAGGTGGAACAAGTAGAATGAACTTTTTTTTTGTTTGTTTGTAAATATGCAGGATTTATGTGTTAAACATGTGTGAATGAAACAAAACAGAACTCCAGGTATGTTTTTGATGACTAAACATTATTACATAGATTGGAAAATATTGTAATAGATGCCCTCGTCCTGGTCAAAATCAGGTGTTAACCAACATACATTTGATCATAGAAAACATGCTGACTTGTACAGTATTTTCTGTCTCTTTTTGTGAACCTGGAGGGCAGTTCTGTTCATTTTGTCCTATGATTATCAGCCCTTACTGCAGCAGAATCACATGATCGGGAGTAAGCATCCATAAATATCCCATATTTCTCTTAAAAGCCCCCTTCACTTTGCTTAAGAATACAAGTCAGTGGCATTAGGCAGTGGAGGTGTACAGGAAGTCATGTAAGTGGTGCATCTGGGAAGTAGTGTAAAGGTTGTCTATAGGATAACTCAGTTGTGTGCTCTGTGTGTATGTGTTTAATGCTGAAATAAAGTTGTAGCCTAAAGCGCAAGTGCAGAAAGACTTTGGTCACTTCTGGTATTTTTCCAATTCAAATACCATAAAAAGATAAATTTATACAAGGTACTCTATGTAACTTTCTGGAGGTGGCACATCTTCTGCTTGCCTTCATGGAAATAAAAAGTTAAAACTACACGTAAAACAGTGAGTGGTCAAAACTGTCAGATATGAAGGCAAGGTAAGTTTATTTGTATAGCACAATTTGTACACAAAGTGATTCAAAGTGCTTTACAGAATAAGAAAGACATTAAATTAAAACACAAATAATCATAAAATTAACATTAAAAGAGACGAGTGTGGAATAAAAATGTTAAAACAGTCATCTGCAGCTAAACAGAAGTGTTTTGAGCCTGGATTTAAACATAGTCAAAGCAGAGGTCTGTCTCACATGTTCAGGAAGACTGTTCCAGGTTTTAGCAGAAACTCTGTCTCCTCATGTTTAGTGCTGATTCTGGGCACCAGTCAGGACCAAGCAGCAGTGTTCTGGATGTACTGCAGCTCTCTAACTGAGCAAGCCGTTACAGTAGTTTAATTTACTGGAGACAAATGCATGGATAAGTCTCTCCATGTCTGGTATACAGTATACTTTTGATTTTTGCTCTGTTTTTTAGATGGTTAAATGTTAAATGTTGGATGTTAAATGTTATTGATTTGATGTGGACTGTTAAAGTTCAAGTCTGAGTCCATTACTCCTAGATTTCTTGCCTGATTTGAAGGTTTTAGAGCGAGAGACTGGAGGTAACTTCTGACACTGTCTCTTTGTTTCTGTGGACCAAATACTATCACTTCTGTCTTATCTGAGATTAGCTGGAGAAAGTTGTTTTACGTTTTAGTTGTTTTGCATTTTCAAGAAGACTCCAGCACACTGACTCACTCTTGGTTTTCGTTTATTAATATAACGTTTCAGTCCCTCTGACCTTCATCAGGAATGTGGATATACCTGTGCCTGTGTCCAACACGCCTGTCAGGTGTGCAGAGTCTACACAGAAAAGAAAGTTGTTTTGGATCCACACACTGATCTGTTAGATGCAGTGGCAGAGTGAATCCATTGGTCCATATTGACCTGCTATCAGTGAGACATAGATGTGAGTGTCGTCTGCATATTTGTAGTAGGCCACATTATTGCTGCGTATTAATAGGCTTAATGGCAGCGTGTAGATATTGAACAAAAGAGGGCCCAGGATCAACCCCTGGGGCATCCCACAGGTCAGGGCCACGTGATCTGAGACACCATTTCCATTTCCGTTTCCATTTTCAACAAACTACTGGATAGAACTTGAACCGGTTTAGTGCAATACCAGAGATGCCCACCCAGTCCTCTAGTCTCTGTAAGAGGATCCCATGATCGACAGTGTCAAAAGAAGCACTAAGATCTAACAGGATCAAGGAGTTTTCGCCTGCATCAGTGTTCAGGCGGATGTCATAGATAGATACATAGATAGATAATACTTTATAATCCCGAAAGAATTTATTTTTTTAGGCAGCAACAATACATAATAATAATAATAATAATAATAATAATAATAATAATAATAATAATAATATCAGTAATTCAATTCATTCATTTGTAATGAAAACAAACTAAACCTACTCTTAAAAAATAATCTATTAAAATAAAGTATGAGAAGACCAGATGAACCTCACTGGACTACTACATTGAGTCATGGACAACAGTGTATCAAGGAATTCCAGAAATTAAACTGGAATCGAAAAGGGCATGTTTCTGAAACCATCTCAGATACAATCTGCACAACTAGGACAAGTGAATTCTACTATCCAGCCTGAACCTAAAGAATCTGACCACTCCAAAAGACCACTAGTGAGCAGTCGAAATGGTCAAGTATGAAAGCAAACTAAATGTTGGTCTGAAAAAAGACCATATAACATAAATCAACAAAAATACACACTTAAAACCATTGCCTAAAGATAACAAGATGTCTTAAACGTACACTGTGCAAGTTTTCTGGTGGCGGGTCCACTACGTACTTGGTAGCTTGTAATTCTAAAAACTAGTGTCCAGCAAGCATACCAGAAAACAGACAAAAGGGAGCGTTCAAAAAAGAAGGGAAGAAAAGCTCATTGTCAATATTTTCCTATTTATAGATTTCTTGCGTATAGAGGAAAGTGTGTGTCACTTCCTCACTAAAACTAAATCTATTTGAAGAGTTTCAATTTCAATAGACCATTCAAAATGCATTTGAGGTGAGAAGAGATCACAGCTGATCAGAGCCGACAAGTTTATACTTCTAGACCCAGAGCCAGAACCACATGCATCTCAAACCTCAGCAGCAACAGTAAGTTGTATTATCCTTATTTATGTGAGTGTGACCACCTCAAATCAGAAGAATGAAGGGACAAGTTGTTGTATTTGGTCGGATATATAAAGGTGTACTCATAGAAGTTTGAGCTCATAGAACTGTAATAACCATATAATATGCAGTTTTTACCACACTGTAAACCCAAACAATTTAGCAATAATAAAAAAACTGAGGTGAGTCTATAGTCTTATGTTTTTAATTACTGTAAATAAAAAAAGTGTGTAAATATCACACAATATTTTTGATTGTATTGCAAAAAAACAAACAAACAAACAAACAAAAAACATAAAGGTGCACTGTGTAACTTTTCAGGTGCCACTGCTTGTCTCCACGATAGATAGTTAAATTAAATGCCATACTGGAGAATATTCTAGGAAAAAGCAACGTGGAGCAGGTGGCAGACCTGCTACCAGAAAGTACACAGTGTACCGTTAATAAAATCTTTTAAGGAATGTGAATTTTTTATTTTATTTTATTTTTTTAATTGATACTAAAGATTTTATGCAGTCATAAATCATACAGAGAATGTAATATCAATAGGTGCAACCCAGAAAGTGAATACAATGTTGATAACTTTGTAAGAAAACACAAATAGTATCATTTTGTCATTGTAAATCTCACTCTTTTGTTGAATTCAAGACACCAGTGAAAGATGGGACATTCTCTAAATAAGTTGGAAGAGAGACAGGGGCTTATGTGGCCATGCAGGACCATCAAAAGAGTCAGACGTGGTCACCCTATTGATGCTTTGCAGCTCATGTCATCAACATTCTGAGGGGGTGTAAAGCTAACTGAAAGCACTACTCTGTTAGAAGCTCTGTTACTTTAGTGAGACTTTTTATCTTTATTTTAACATAATCTGACCAGAAAGAGGTTGTAGCTGGACTGGACCTGGAATGGACGGTGAGCCAGGCACAGGACCTTCTTGCTGTGAGACATGGGGGCTGATCACAATGCCCTTGTGAAGAGCGTACCTTGCATTGTTACTCTATGTTCATGTTTGAGAACCCCTCCACCAGAAAATTTGAGTGAACAGAAAGAGCCAGGGGTATAGTGGGTGTGGTACACGGGGGTACGCCCTCCACCCACTTCTCCCGATGTGAGATATAAATGTCAAACCAGAGCTATTGCCAAAGGTGAAAACAACCTGCATAGGCTCATTATGTCTCCAATACAGTCCTATAGTGACCTGTGACATGAGGGGACCAGGGCTGAACCAAGACTGAACCAGGACTAAACACGTCCCCCACGGTGCTAAGTGCAGCCGTCCCCCGATCAGGTTTGCAGACACCCTTCTTCGCCGGCTCAAGGTGGTTTAGTCCTTGTTTAGTCCTGGATTAGTCCTATTTTAGTCCTGGTTCAGTTCTCGTTTAGTCCCTGGTTTAGTCCTGTTTTAATCACTAGTTTAGTCACTGGTTTAGTCCTGTTTTAATCACTAGTTTAGTCACTGGTTTAGTCCTGTTTTAATCACTGATTTAGTCACTGGTTTAGTCCTGTTTTAGTCCTGGTTTAGTCCTGTTTTAGTCCTGGTTCAGTCCTGGTTTAGTCCTCGTTTAGTCCTGGTATAATCCTGGTTCAGTTCTTGTTTAGTCTCTGGTTTAGTCCTGTTTTAGTCACTGGTTTAGTCCTGTTTTAGTCCTGGTTCAGTCCTGGTTTAGTCCTGGTTTAGTCCTGGTTTAGTCCAGTTTTAGTCACTGTTTTAGTCCTGTTTTAGTCCTGGTTTAGTCCTGGTTTAGTCCTGGTTCAGTCCTGGTTCAGTTCTCGTTTAGTCCCTGGTTTAGTCCTGTTTTAGTCACTGGTTTAGTCCTGTTTTAGTCCTGGTTTAGTCCTGGTGTAGTCCTGGTTCAGTCCTGGGCACATGTGTTGTGGCCTATGATTTATGTTCTTTAGGTGATTATGAATGTCGTTAATGTTAATAACATGATTCTGCATCGTTTTGAGTAAAAAATAAATAAATAAATCATCACATTGATGACGTCATGCATCACGTACCCCCACTTAAAAAATCCCCACTACACCAGTGGAGTGAACCTTTAAGAAAGCTTTAAGAAAACATCGCACAACAGTAGATTTTAGGAACCTTCGGAAGTTTCCGGAGAAGCAGTTGTTGCAGTATTATTCTGACTAGTTGTCTTAAGCAGAAGGAAGCTTTTGTTCTCACTTCCTCACAAAACAGACAAGAGTTTTAAGTTCAACTGACTGTATGTAATGTATTTGAGGTGCATTTCAGCTCTATAATGTTTCCATGATGATAAATCTAGATTGTAATAATTGACAGGTCTTCAAACTTTCTTAATTAAAGATTTGTTTGTCTTTCCAAAATATACTTACTATATACTATATTATATACTATACTAATCCAAGAGAAAGTACTATGTGCAGAGATTTCACTTCTCTTTCTCTAAATTCCAGGAGTCAAAGTGGCACTTCCTCAAGAAATGAAGAAAACAAAACATGTGGGGTTTGCCTTAAGAGACCTGATGATCTTTCTGCTCCTGTGTAACTGTGTCCTTTTAACTGAAGGATTTAGCGTCAAGAAGTGTTACATTTATAAAGACAGAGCCGATTGCTCCAAACAGAAACTCACCAACATTCCCACAGACATCCCTCTTTCTGTAAAGAGCATTGATCTGAGCCAAAACCGTTTTACGAGTATACAAGTATTAAACTTTACAAATTTCCCCAATTTAACAACACTTGACTTGAAACGGAACTTCATTTTGAATATTGGCAAACGTACATTTTCTCAGTTACCTTCCCTAAGTGTGCTAATATTGAACACCAATAAAATTGTCCACCTTGAAGATTATGTATTTGATGGTTTGCCCAAACTCACACAGTTACTTCTGGGCTTTAATCGTATTCAAACAGTAGCACCAAATACCTTCAGATCCCTGAGCAGCCTCAAGATCCTTGAACTGTCCAAGAATCAACTGCAAACTATTGAACTCTTCCATGCTGCTTTACAGCACATGCCACAGCTGAAAAACCTGCAGATTCGAAACAACAGAATAAAAACTTTCATTTCAAAAGATTTAACAAACACCTCGATCAACATTACATACCTTGACTTGTCTGAAAACCCACTTGAGAAGTTTGTGGTTACAGACGCTGTCTTTCCCAAACTCTCCCGTCTGAACCTTGGACGTCCAACTGCAAAGCTCCACCTGACCTGGGCCGTGCAGAGCCAGACTGTGTTAGAGAATGTGACCATTCTGGAGCTCAGTGAGGTTCGACTGGCCTCTGGTGATGAATGGAAAAGACTGTTTTCATCATTTAACTCCTTGATTTTCCTTAAGTTAAACTCAATGAAATACAAACTCACTAGCCTTATGAACATGTCCTGTTCCATGCCCACTGTGTCAAAGCTGCAGCTGCAGAGCAACAAACTCACCTTCATCAGCTCATCTTTTTTCCAAAAGTGCCATAATGTAACTGACATTGATCTGGAGGATAACAAAATAACACACATTGAAAATGGCTCTTTTAACATTCTGAAACTCTTAGAAGTCTTGAGCATAAAACGTAACAGGCTCCAGACTGTCCCATTTGCAACAAGAAATCTGTATTCACTTCGGAAACTCGATCTTAGCTTCAACTTAATCAGAACACTGGAGTGTCAGGATTTTGCTAAACTGACAAATTTAGTGCAACTGAATCTGCAGTGGAACAGCCTAACAGCTCTAAATAAATGCTCTTTCAACACTCTGTCAAAGTTAGAAGTTTTGAAACTACAAGGAAATTCAATGACCAAACTCGGAGGTGCATTTACAAAAAACTTGCCCAGTTTAAAAGTCCTCCTCTTAAATAACAATAAACTGACTGCAATCGGTAAACATGAATTCAGGGGCTTGTTTTCACTTCTGAACCTCTCACTATTTGAAAATCAGATCGAAACTCTACATGAGAGCTGCTTCCATGGTCTGAAAAATTTGACATTTCTGCAGTTGCAAAAGAATAATCTCAGAAAGGAAGCACTGAGCAATAACTGTTTAAGAAAATTGGTGAAATTAACTAGATTGGATTTGTCAAATAATCACTTTAAATACTGGTCCAGCAAAAATTTGACAGTACCTCCGTTTATGAACTTGTCCAATTTAGAAACGTTATTATTTGGAGTTCAACGCTCCAAGGGCAAAGGCGTATTCCCTGCAAACTTCCTTCAGGGTCTGACAAAACTCTCAACTTTTATTTGCAATAACATCCAACTTTTATCTTTTCCCAATGACTCTTTCACTTACACACCTCATCTCACAAACCTGGACATCAGCGCCAATGATCTTCTGGACATTTCACCCAAGTTGTTCAGTCCAATACCAAAATTAGAGCATCTTAGAATTAATAGCATTAACCTTCATTCTCTAGAGTTCCTGATCAACTCCAACCTTACAAAGTTAAATGAACTCGAAGCAAGAAAAAATGCCTTTTCTGTCGTCAGTAAAGACGTCATCCGATCGTTACCAAGTCTGTCAGTGCTGGACCTAAAATATAACAAATTCACATGTGATTGTGACAACTCTTGGTTTGTGCAATGGATAAAAAACAATAGCCAAACTGAAGTGGTGGATGCTTACAATTTTACCTGCAGCTACCCACCAGAGTCTATGAACCAAAAACTTCTACATCTTAACACTCAGTCTTGCATTTTGGACGTTGGCTTCTTTTGTTTTATTTCCACCGCATTCACCAATATCCTGATCCTCGTGGTTACCTTCACCTACCATTTCAGCAGATTTCATCTTATCTATGCCTACTACATATTTTTGGCATGGCTTTTTGACTCCAAGAACAGACAGAAACGCGTAGAGGATCAGTACGATGCCTTTGTCTCTTATAATACCCACGATGAAGCCTGGGTTTACCGAGAACTGGTCCCCCATCTGGAGAAGGAGCAAGGTTGGAGGCTCTGCCTGCACCATCGTGACTTCCTCCCAGGTACATACATTACATTTGCACTCACAGAATACTAATGACTTTGCCTGTATTCAATAATATGTCTTCTCGCATGCTTGCTGCAAAGGCTGTAAGACTTAAGCATGAACTGAACTGTGCTTCCAATGGCAGTCTTGTCTTGATTCCTTTGACTTCCCTCTAAAAGGCACTATACCTGATCTGTGTCAGGGCAGTTTGAAGAGAGGAAGAGCCACAAGTGTCTCTCCTCTGTGTCCTGCAGCACAGAAAATGCCTTGTTCTTACTCTGCTCTGGTGTTTAGTTTGGTGATGAAATGATTAATTCTTTCATGCAGTTTCCTTTCGAAGGTCGTCTGCCACATTTGCTGTGAGATACAGAGTGAAAAGTCTGTAGCCTCTTAAATGTCCATAGATTGCTCTTTAGCTAACCTCTTGCACAGTCTCTATGGATAGTTCTTGACATTTATTTAATAGTTTATTTTTTTCCATTTTAGACAGGGACAGTGCACAATATACATTAACCTTAAGAGGAGAGATGCATTGTATCAGGCTGCAGCACCAGTGCTGATTTCCACTTGTACTCCCTGGGTTAATTGATTGATTGTATTTAATTGACCTCAGCTATCGTCTGTTCTTCTTGGAGACCTGTGTAGCATGTTTTGTTGCTGATTTGTGTCTTTTGAACTGTACATGCCACACTGCTTAGTTGGTTAAAATCCTATGATATTATGTTAAGACAGAGCTCACAAAACAAGAAGTTTCAAAAACTACTGAGTGTATGAGCCAGGTACCCGCAAACATAAGATAAAAAATAAAAATAGCATGCAAATAACACACTTCCTGATTCTTGAAACATAAAACAGTTTATGCAGCCTTTTGACCCCAAGAGGCTAGAGCTGCTTTTACAACAAAACTAATTTAGCTCTACATGGAAAAAACTGGCCAGCCACTTCAAGCCATTTTTGTAAATACACCAGCTGTCCTCCTCTGCTCATGCATCAAATGATTTACCACAGCATCACAACCAGTCACCTCAACATTTTCTTTTCTTTCTCTTTATCACTTTAACACTGTTTTAAGTGCATTATACTTACAGGTGCACTTTGTAACTTTTCTAGTACAGGGTCCGCCACCGGCTTGCTGATACTTTGCCTTTAATGTTCCACAGTATGACATTAAATGTATCTGTCATAGTCACATGTCAGATCTGTGCAGAGGTGAATTCAATTACAGCAAAAATGTGGATTTTTAAATGCAAGATAGATTAGTTTAATGCTATTCTGTGGATCATTCCAGTTGCTTAGTGAACTTTAATTTGACTGACTGGAGTTTCTGTCCACAGGGAAACCTATTGTGGAAAACATTGCTGATGCCATTTATGGAAGCAGGAAAACCATCTGTGTAATCAGCCAACGATATCTGCAGAGCGAATGGTGCTCCAAAGAGATGCAGCTGGCCAGGTACTGCACTTTCACACATGAGCAGATGTCTCTGTACTTAAACTGAATGTCCCATACACACATACAAAGTAAGTACAAACTGACTGTCTGTACCAGGGGTGTCAAACATACGCCCTTGGCTGATTTTCTACTAAAATATTTTAATGATATTTTCTATTAAAATATTGGTAATTTTCTGCGCCGCTTAACATAGCAGCGTCTCCATCACCTCTGTGCGTGGCCCCTCCCACCAGAGCAGCACAAATGAAGACTTGTCTCTTTCAAGCGCTCTTAAAGGACGATCGTTTTGACTGTTGACCATGACACCCTCATCAGCAAAATGTCCAACATGAGAAAAGTGGAGCCGAGTGCAGGATTTTCCAAGAAAAACTGACTTATTCCTATTTGCATACAAGTTCATGTTAAAACATTGTGTTGAAATTGCATTTTTCTTAAAGTTTCAGGTTCATAATATTATAATATTTTGTAAAAGAAAGAGTTCATCAATTAAAATAGATTTGCATTTTTCTGCACAAATATTTGAACTTATTGCTATTTTTGGGGTATATATGCCATGAGTTTTCTGATCTGGCCCCTTTGGGATCTTAGTAGGTTGGATACGGCCCCCGGACCAAAATGACAGCCCTGACCTATACCATTGTGTCACTGAGCAACATATTTGTCTGTCAAAGTCTAATTTGATTGTTGCATAAAAATGTGAAAGGGTGAATTTGAGTTCAACAGTTTGTTCAACTGTTGATGTCTCAAAATGTTGAAGTAACAGTGGCTCTTCATTTTTCTTCATCTGAAAATCAACTTGCTTATATATAAGTGTGGTGTTTGTGTGTGTGTGAATAATTGTTTGGTGTCTGAGGGGTTGTTGGTGTAGATTGGTTGCCACACCTCTGCTGCTTAGCCTCAGTGCAGCTGTGTCTTCAGTCTTAGCTTAACTCTTTCAAAGTGAATGAACACTGCAATGTAAAGATGCTTTGATGTAAAGCATGAACAAAGACTGTTTCATTAAAAATGGTTCAAGCTTAATATTTAATTGAAACCACAACTCCTAATCCTTAATTAACTTGATTCAATCCAAGGGAAGTTCAAGTTAACCACTCCACTGTCATGAGAATTAAGATATTTGATTAAAATAAGTCAAATATAATACTGATTTAGATTTTTTCTGTGCCCTGTAGTTTCCGTTTGTTCGATGAGAGAAAGGACGTGTTGATCCTCGTGTTTTTAGAGAACATCCCCTCAGCTCACCTGTCTCCTTATTACCGCATGAAGAAGATCCTGAAGAAGAGGACCTACCTGAGCTGGCCCCGGCGCTCCGAGCAGCACCTTCTGTTCTGGGAGAAACTACGGCAAGCCCTTGGGTCCACAAACACAGCTGAAGAAGACAGACTGCTCCTCACTGTCACCCAATTGACCTGAGACTGCTTTCAGTGACAATACAAAGCTTTGAAAATCATTTGTAAATAAAACAGATTAAGTTATAAGATGAATGAATGAAAAAGTAATGGCGTTAATACTCTTCTATTGAATATTTACTGTTGTCTGTACTTGCCGTTTGTCTGGTGGAAAGTTTGTCATCAGCTTGTCTGCATGAAGATGTTATTGCTTTGTTTGGAATGTTCCACATGTTACCATTAAACTTGTTTTGCATTTATTCAGCTAGATTTGTATTTTAATTGCTTAAAGATACAAGCATTATAACTATGACCAGGTTCTCCTCTCCACAGATCTGACCTGTAAATTAGGTTGGTGGCATGACCATTTTCTCCATTTGGCAATTTTCATCCTGGTATTTACAGCTATGGCTGGATTTCAGTAGTCAGCCTGGTGCCACCTAGTGCCTCCGCTCAATTTCATTTCTCTCCAGCGACTAGATCAGGAATCAGAATACACGAGACGATTCGCAAAAACCACGGAAGCGCGAGTTCAGGCACCAGCCAATCAGCGAAGAGCCATATATTCTGTGTTTACAACGATTCTCGAGATCGAGGATTTAAAGCTGGAACAAAGAGAATGTTTGGTAAATTTTATCAAGGGGAAAGACGTTATTGCCCTTTTTCCTACGGAATCTGGGAAAAGCTTAATATACCAGTTAGCCCCATTTGCTGCGCATTACAAGTGTCACAACCAAATAACAGCGACTGGTTAAATTAAAAAATGTACCTGTTGCGAGGTCAGACGATTTCTACAAAGTGAAACTGGCTGATGAATCAGGCTAGGATTTTAGATGAAATCACAGCATTCTATAGGCCAGTATTATTTAACACAGCTGGGGGGCAGCTAAAATAAATATTGTTCAAGTGCAGATTTTTGCTGTAATATAGAATGCTCTTGGGTCTAATCACAAATGGAAATGATCAGGTTTGATATTAGGGACTTTACCTTTTTTATATTTCATGGCAACATACAATATAAACAATAGGAAAAATTTGCTCTTGCCCCCCATCTGGAAGTAAGACATCATCACATTATAGAATCTGAAAATCACTAATTGTGTGATTGTTTTTTTTTTTCTGAGGAAGACCAAGGACACGCTGGAGGCACTATGTCTCTTGACTAGCCTGGGAATGCCTTAGTCAGTGAAGACATCATCCGATCGGTACCAAGACTGTCAGTGCTGGACCTAAAATATTACAAAACAGATTCACGTGATTGTGACAACTCTTTGGTTTGTGCAATGGATAAAAAACAACAACCAAACTGAAGTGGTGGATGCTCACAATTTTAGCTGCAACCAAAAACTTCTGCATCTTAACATTCAGTCTTGCATGTTGGTCGTTGGCTTCTTTTGTTTTATTTCCATAGCATGCACCCGTATCCTAATCCTTGCGGCTATCTTCACCTACCATTTCATCAGATTTCACCTTATCTATGCCTGCTACATGTTCTTGACATGGCTTTTTGACTCCAAGAACAGACAGAAGCACGTAGAGAACGATTAGTACAATGCTTTTGTCTCTTATAATGCCTTAGAGTCCCACTGGAGGAGCTAGAGGAAGTGTCTGGGGTGAGTGAAGTCTGGGAACCAACCCCAGATAAGCAGAAGAAAGGGGATATATGTGTACTTTAGTGATACAACCATTGGACAGTGCACTCCGGACACAGTGGGGTTATTTGGGTTTATACCTCACGTTGTTGGCTGCTGGTGCTCCACACATGGGCAGGGGTCCACTGTCCTCTCTGTCCTGGCTCTGGGTGTTCTGCCGGGACCGGGAGGGGGCGGCGGTGCACCCCTCTGTTTTGGTGATCAGCTGTTGTTGTGGCTGTTATGTAAGAGATACTGCATGAGAAGGCCACATATCTGCACTGTCCACTGGCACAGACTGGGGCAACTGGTCACTCAACACCACCATTAACCACCAGATATCAAAATGTTTTTACCCACAAGAACGAGCAATAAAGAAATAAACACAAACATATCTGAGTGAATACAAAATATACCAAATCAGATGTGGAAATAATGATGGTTTGTAGCAGTAAACAGTTAGGAAAACTTGTTAAATATGTTGGTTGAAGATTTATAATTTGCTAATAAGGAAAAAAAATCACAAGCGATAATATTTCCTCATCAAAAAGTGTTTAGTTGCAGTAAGCTGACCTTCATCAAGTCATGCACGATCCCAAATATCTAGTCTCTCTCTCCTTCTGTCCCTCCTTTTCCATGACCCTCCATCCTTCCTTCTCTCTCCCCTTCTCTGTCTTCTCTGTCTTTCTTAATCTATCTCGTCTCTCTCTTTCTCTTTATCTATTCTCTTAAAACTACCTCCTCTCTCCTCACGCCCTTCCTTCACCACCTCCTTCGCTCCGTCGCTCTCTCCATCCCTAACCGCCCCCCTCATCCCTCTCTCTCAGCACCCTTCTGTCTCTTAGCTCATTTAAATGTCACTTGAGCAGCTGAGGTATTTGCAGTTACACAACTCAAACTCAGTAGCAGGGATCAATGTGTCACCGTGCACCTAAATAACCCCATTAGACACAACAACAGCAGCAGGATGAGAATCACAGGATTTACAATTTGTACTTTTAATCTTTTTGTTTGTTTGTTTAAATGTACACACTTTACTTATAAACCACTGATCACTGGGACAACGGATGGAAAGTAACCTTTGGCTATAATCTGGTGTGTTTACGTTCATGTCTGTCCATTAACAGGCACTGTCCCAGTCAAATAAATCAATAAATAGAAATAAATACTGCTATTCTGAAAATACCAGAGGAGGAGACTTGCAAGACTTGAGTCACTATTTTCAGGACTTGAGACTTGACTTGATAAAATAGACTAAGACTTGGGACTCGGCTTGGACTTGAGGCCTCTGACTTGAGAAAACTTGATGCTTCTCCTAAAAAAATATATGTTTTTAGAGAATACTTTTCTCTTTACATTTGGTACATGTGGTGCTTAATTTTACAGGAACAAACTGGAACATGTTGCTCCCACATCTGTTTGTTACTTTGGATGTAACTGAAGTACTCTGATATGATATCCTCAAATGTACTACAGTAATCTAAGTACAAAACAGTAAAACAGGGGAATATGAGCCTTCCATTTCAGTGCAGACCACTTGACAAAATAACTGTTATTAAACACTTCTTTATCTTAATTCTTTCTATTCTGACCGTAGTGATTCACAATAAGATCTTGTCAAGACATTTAAAAAGTAAAAATTAACATTTCTACAACTCACATATAAAAACTCATATATAAATATACCATGACTTTTTACCATTTAGTTTAAAAGTCATATAAATTACAAAAATCTAAAGCTATATTTTGTAATTTGGTTTTAAGACTTGACATGATTTGAAGCTCGACGACTTGGACTTGACCTGGACTTATGGGTCAGTGACTTGAGACTCGACTTGCCTTGAACTTGAGATCAAAGATTTGAGCCTTACTCCAGTCTCTCAAAACAACAATTTGATCCCACCTCTGGAAAATACTGTTCTATTCGTTCTAACACGTAGTCTACTTCTATCTTCAAATGTGTAGTATGCTTGGTTGTTATTCTATATAGGGCATTAACCTACATTTATACATACTTTAATTAATACAAACAGATAATAAATGTAAGTTAAATTCATACTTTAATAACCACACTGCAAAAAACTAAATCTAGCCAAGTTAAGATGACTTGAATCAAGAATATTTTATCATGATTTGAGTAAATTTCACATGACAAGTAAAATTATCTGACAGTGGAAGAAGACATTTTGTAACTTAAAATTTGAAAATACATCTTGCTGCACTTAAAATAAGAAAAACAACAACTTTCTGTACTTAAAATAAGAAACACAATCAAATGTTGCTTGAACTAAGAAAAACGCACTTATTGCACTGGTAGATAATTTTACTTGTCAAGTTGAATCTCAAATAAATGGAAAAAAAATACTCAAATAAAGTAAAATGTTCTTAATTTAAGTCATTTTAATTTACCTAGATATTGTTCCAGTTTCTATTTTCCAGTGCATATATTATCTTGATATTTTATAGCATAGAAAAAAAAAAAGCTTAAAAAATGTCAACTTACCAATTTCATTATGTATTGACCCAAAGCAAAACATTTTAATACAATCTACTCTCTTAAATTGTTAAGCAATGTAATGTTCATTTGTTATTTTTTTTTAAACATTTCTTTAACTTTTTTTTTTTTTTTTAACCTTCATTTAACGAGGAACACTGCCATTGTGATTAAAAACCTATTTTTCTAGGAAATCCTGAGCAAGAGGCAGTCATTGTTACAACATCTGCTCATTACATTGCATCAGTAACCCTTTCTCTGTTTGATTAAAGTACAAATGTAGGGAGGCTGTAGTTCGAGCTCTTCGTAAATGTTAGAATATAAAAATCAAGTTACATTTTTCAAGACATTTCTCCTCACCTACGTGTTAGTTCTTGCGATGTTGCTTCTCGGTATTGGCACGGCTTTAACATAGAGAGTCACATCGGTATCCACACGGGAGCAGGCCGTCATGTCTCTCCGGATGACAGACTGTACCACTGTAATGAGGAGTGATGACAGGAAACATATCTGAACTGGACACAGCTATGTCCCGGTTATGTAATAAACCAACAAGACACAAAGGGCACACAGAGGGTACGAGCAGAGAGAAGAACCTATTCCAAACTGATAATAATGCAAGTAAATGGTCCAAAAGGATTACCTTGCAGAGTCGTTATTTTTCACTGACAGCGAGGAGTCTTAAATCAGTTTATTTCTATCGAGGCTTTTTGCTGATGCAGACTGGAGGCCCTAACCTCTCGAGAATGCCCGATCTCGGCAGATTTCGGAAGCTCAGCGGGCTCTGGACCGGTTAGTGCTTTTATGGGTGACAGCTGCGAATACCAGGGGTCAGATGGGGCAACAGTGACTCTGGTGCATTGTGACCTACGGGCAAGACACTTCACCCATCTGGACTAGTTTAGATGTGGTATGTGAGTTTTAGTGGTGGTTGCTTCTACAGGTCAAACCCAGGGCGACGGTGGCTCTAATATCAGTTTACAACCAGTGTATGGGATTAACGACAAAACTGTAAAGCAATGTAGACGATCTGGAAAAGCTGTAACTGCACAATGCTTCACTATAAATCTGAACTGTAGACTGTATAAAGAAGTGAGTGTGATGTCAG